TAAGCAAGGAAGTATGAAAATGGGCAAACTAAAACACATAAGGGTTTCTTTATTATACAGAAAAGGGTTTAAACTTACTTTCTTGTACATACTAAGTACCCGTGACATGCTATAGCCAATGCGCATTATGACGTACATATTGTGATGTCATTGTCCCTCATTTCTCAAAGAAATAACATCAATAAAACTGCTTCTGCACAAGGACATAGCATATTTAATTTGATAAAGACGAGATTTGATAATAAGCAGAATATTCCAAAGATAGATGATATTGCTGCACAAATGTCAACAGTTCAATTGCTATAGGTAACTACTATTTGTGGAGTTTTGAGTTGAATCATTAGAAAATGCAGAGTCTGCCATAATTTTTTATTCCGTTCTGATCAAATGAGATAATGCAACATTTTTGCAGCAATATTATAAACCTTTTTAATGTTCTTCCTCTTAATGTTTTTATCTTATTGTAAAATTAAATAAGATATGCCCTTGTGCTGAAACCGTTTTGTTGAAGTTATTTATTACCTTGAGTGGTAGAGAACAATGATGTCATGACACATTGACATCATAATGTGTATTGGCTACAATGTCGTTGGATCTAAGCATGCATTAAAAAAGTGAGTTTTAACCTACTCTTTATGATAAACAAACCTCTTTTGTGTTTTAATAAGTTAATTTGCAAAGAAATGCCTATACCTAGCCTTAACTACTTGCGTAATGCTGGCACATATATTACACATTTTGTGGCCTTGAGCCAAGGTCATTTTTTTTCTCTGAAAGAAGCTTATACATGTAGTGTCATTAAATAGTTATTCTTTTCTTCTTGAGGAATCGAGGCTAAGAGTAAAAAAAAAAAAAAAAAAAAACACATTAAGATTTATAAATTAATTTTCATTTTTAGTTCACTATGACAAAGTTTTATTGAGCTTATGTGAAGCCTTTGATATCATTGTCCAAAAGAAAGGTTTAGGAACAAGTCTATTATCCAAAAAACCATAAGGCCCACCTGGACAAAACTTGCATATATGATTTGTGTAGGGATTCACCCTAACAAACTTGCTTCAGATGCTGGATATGACCATTTACTGAAATTACCTGGTTGATGTTTTAGGAGAAGGCAAATGCTTAATCTAAGAATGCACACTAGCACAGACTTGCTCCAGCTACTAGATCTGACCTACATTTTAGCTTGAGTAATGACCAGCTTTAAGCTTTTGAAGCAGGTCCATTTTCAGTTAAATGTAAAGCCTGTTGTGACCAAATTTGCATGAATGATACATCTATAGGGATGCACACGTAACTAGAACATTCGTTTGGTCTGCAGCTTTGCCTGACATGTACATAACATTTGTCAAGGCGAGCTTCATAATCTTTCATTACCTATGTTTGTATGTAAGGTAGGACTAGATCCAGTACCTTATAGCTTGGCATGGTATTTAAACATACCAATACTAGTCATGCATTAGATAACCTCGAATTTGGCCTTGGCACGTGTAACCATTTTGTGTTCCTACAAATGAGCATTATCTAAATTATTCAATCATTTAACATGTCTAATGTAGTGTAAAATAAGCAGAAAATTACTTAAGTTAAGAAAACCATCTGATGAGGAAAAAAATGCAGTTAATTAAGTTAAATATTGTCCAAATACTGTGGCAAGTTCCAAATGAAGAGACATCAAGTGGGGAATACGTCTCTGTTATAATTTATATGTTTATGATCTGTGAAGTTTAACCCCTGTGTGGAATTTTCTGTTCATGTATTTTACAAGTGCTTGATAAAAAGTAAATTATTGGCCAATAAAACATGTACCTCTCTTCTCAAGTTATTGGTAATAGTTTTGACAAACATTTGTCTACCAACCGAGACATTTGTGGTTGCCATATCTTTTAAGTTGTCAGTTTGTGCATCTCTTGGTCTATGTTAGCTTTATTTGTTGTCTGTCCCTCTTGCTTTTGTAAAAAAGATGGTTCTCATTTCATTTTATGGTGAAGAAAATATGTCTGTCTTGCTGAACGAGAAGAACAGGTTGAATGTGTGATTTCATAAATAATAGTGATCAAAGGACAATTTGTAATGGACAATAGAACTGCAAAAATCATATTTTTTTTAGCAAAACTATATAATTGTTATTCAATTAGGTATCTCACAAACCTTAGTATGCAATCAAAGGGAAAAGTAGGCTATCATCTACTGTAACAGCCATTTAAAGCCTGGTATCATTATGTTTTTATTAAAAACAAAGTTTCAAATAACATTGCCTCAAAAATAAAATGAGAGTTTTTCTATTCCTAATTAGTATGGATGGATTTTGCCTCAGAAATAAAGCAACAGTTGTTTCTATCCCACATCAGTGTTGGGAGGATGTTGTCCTATGTTCCCTCTATGGACAGGATATATCTCCCTCCCCTATCTCCCCCTGTAATCACCAGGCGATAGAGCTGGAGAGGGGCTTTCCTGTTGTTAGCATTATTTATCACCTTAGGTGACTTTTCAAACACTCCCGGATCAATCTGAGTCAATATTTGTTCCACATTTTCGCTATTTTTCTGATTGTGCCAGATTTATTATGCAAGTTCACATCTACTACTTATCATTTGATCCACGGCTGAGTGGCACCAAATATGCTGATATCTATGGGTTTGAGTTTATCTCCAAAAAATTTGTCTGGGTTGAAGATACTGCAGAAATGTGAACTATAGTGACTGTTGAAAAGTTCAAGAGTGTTCAGTATAATTGCTCCGTGTAACTTGTTCATGTTTTGTTTTCATCTTGTTTACTTCATTGTAGATATCCCTCTTCAAATTATGTTGCTAAGCCCATTCTCTAACCCTGTTATTTAATTTTTGATGTAGGTGTATAGAATCAATGGTATCTTTGTATTAAAGAATGATATATGTGTATTCTGAGGACAAGTAAACTTAAAATTTTAAATACAGTCATCACTATTGATGTAGGGGAAGCTATGAGATTTATTCATTTTGTGGTTTAAATTCATATAATTTATAAAATGTCAAAATCTGCATACCTATAGAAAATGTTGATGGCTTATAATTGGCTATATGCGACAAATGAATTGGTAGTAAAATTTATGGAGGACATTTAAATAGATGATTAAAATTCAAAACCTTGGAGGCAAGAGATGCAAGCATTATTGTAATCATTCCAATCAGTAGAATCATTGTAAGGCTTTGGTGGATGGAAGACTGACACTTTATTTTTGGAACAGTAATGCTGTTTAGAAAAAAAAAATTAACAGAATAATAGAATGGAACCTTCCAATAATGTACCATAGTATGACAAAGTGTTCCATGTCATATAAATTACACGAATGCCATGCTTATCACTGCATGTTGTACATGAGACCATGTTTATGATCAACTTGAATCTAACTGCACTAAATTTCCTGATAACGTGAATTCTGGACAGTTGTTGTAAATTAATGTTCAGTATTTGAATTTAGGCTACTTATCAAGTTAGAGAGTAACAATTAATTCAATTCCCCTTTCAAGTAATGAATCCGAACATCTTATTGAAAAAATATAATAAAGTTATGTTATTGTTGGATGAGGATTGCTAGTAGGTATTATTTTATATTTAGATATTAGTATTGTATGATTCCAGAATGATCAACTGTTACAAAGCCACAGCCCCATTCCATTGATTGGTTAATGAAAGATAATCGAACTTAATAAAACCATAATGTTTTGTGGATCTGTCTTTTGTATGGTTTGTGACATAAAGCAACAATTGAACTCGTCCATTGTGATCATTAAAAGTCCTGTCTGGATTCAGCAGATGGATGATTTTCACTTTCTGGGGTAGGTGTCCAGAGTTATTGACCATTGTCAACCTCTGATTAAACATTTTCACTTTTGTTATAACACTTGACCTGGGCAGTGACCAAGGATCAGCTAATTTGGACAGGTGTAGAGAAGAAATTGCTGACAACTTTCCATTTGTTGTAAAATAAGAGTAATCTAGACTGCACTTGAATCTGTCCTTGCATCTGTCCTATAGATTGACACTGATTTTTCTCCTTAGAAATCTGATGCATCAGGAAGGCAGGTATTAGAATTTCGGCAAGTAATTTACGATACATATTGGCCCATGTTATTGAATCTTCTTTGCCTGCTAGAACTTCTTTTTTATGGGTTTTAAAAGATGCAAGAGCTCATGCAAGGGTTATGCACTTTCTTTAAAGAGGGAGACTGATGGTCACTGCAGTATAGATTAATGAGATGCAACCTGGCTTTGAAGCTTATTATGCTCTGTGACACACCTCCGCACATAAATAATTGGGGGAATATCCTGGGTGCACATAATCATGGCCTGGTGCATTTCTTCTGCAGTCTGCTATTGTCCAGTGTTGAATTAGTGGACATGGAGGCTTTCTATTCAGAGAAAAAATATTGCCACACGACAGTCCTCACCTTCAACAAAGGGAGCCAGGGGTGACTGTACACGTTCAAAGAGCTGTATTATGTTTCAGACATATGATCAATTGGAGTTTGAAGCACCTCTGCATTTCATTTCACCCCGAGAGTTGCATTATGATTGCACATAATTGCATTCAAGACTGGACCATCTGCACTGAAGAACAATATATTGCTTTTGGACTTGGTTGCAGGTAAAATTTGCATAGAAGCAATAGCTAAGTGGTTGTTAGCATACAGAGCCCTCTGAAAACAATTTCTTTAGGAATCTGTCTGCCTAGAAGAGCTGTGACATTATTACTCTTTCAGCAAGTCATTTTTCATCATTTTCTACAAGAGTAACAAGAGACGTCTCTCCTATTTTGCAGACTTGGCTCTCTTACTGCCTTTTATGAGTGTTTTAGAGTGATCTTTGTTAATAATGATTGATTACCACTTAAGACCCTCTTGAAGTAGAAACTAAGTTTATTCTGGTGGAAGTCAAGCCATACTTTTTCTAAAAACATTTTTTTAAATCACTAGATGGCTATAGTTTCATCATTGTGAAATAAATATTGAAACATTGAAGATAGTGAAAATAATTTATTTCAAATTTTTTTCTTTAGTGAATTACATATAATTTATAAGAAAAGTGGTGATGTGTTGGAAAGTTCTGTATATAAAGTACATGTATAACAATGGATTTTGCATTTAGACATGAAAGTAAAAATTGAACTGTTGTCTGTTTTTTGCAGCATTGTAGAATCTTGAGATCTCTCTAAAAAGCACAAACTGATAAAGCAAGTTTCTTTGCTTGGAAGTTTCACCATCTTGTGTTTCAAGTTCACAATCTTCTTTTGCCAACCTTTATTGTAGACAAGTATGTATTGATCCCGAGCTGCAGAGTTTTTCTGACTTTGGCAGGAAATGTGTCATCCTCGCACTGCTTCCTCCTTTTAATTGCTTGTCCTTTTCTCTTGTCTTGAGTGCTCTGAAGATATACCAAGAAATGGCTAGATTAAGTTGAGTAAGGAATTATAGCAATTCCTATCTGGAAAACTCTCAGCAAGGTCAAAGTTCATACCACTCTGCATGTTGAAGATAAGTTGGCATCAATACATTGTTCAAATTATTACAATGACTTTTTTCCTCATTTTTAGACAAAATGGCAGTCAATATTTGAATTCAATATTGATTGAACTAATAGAAATATTAAAGTTTTAAAATTTTAATAGTTAGTTGAATACAAATGTACCAGAATTTAACTTTTTAAGATTGAAATGATTTTTCTCATGTACAAACTTAATTCATTTTTCATTGTGTTACTTGAAAGAGAGATATAGCACTTTGCTCTCCAATTCCCAGCTTTAGCTTTGGCTATTCTGAGAATACAAGCTTTTATTTAGTTGGAGAAGGCAGATGCTGAGTGAAAATCTGTGTTAGAATTGCCAGAAGCTGTTTGGAAGAAGAGATACTTGTCTGTTTTCATTGAAAATTTGGACAGTATTTGAAAACATGAATTGTGTCTATCCTATCTCCTCTAATCACACATAGGAATAGATGAAGTTGGTTTATGTCATGAAACACCCCTTTAGTCATTTTTTTTTCACATTAAATCCTGTATTATTTTGTTATATAAGAAATGTAATTATACGTGGATATTTCAATGCTGTTAAGAAAGGAAATTAAACAGGAAGATCTTGGAGAAAAATAACTATGACTCAGGTGAGCAGTGTGGAATATTGGTCTCTGTTGCACTGTTCAAAGACTGCAAAATTTTGCTTGTAGTACTACTAGTATGGATATGAATACATGTACATGTATTATGATTTATTTGGTTTCAGGTGACTCCTAGCTGAAGGAAATCATCATATTTCTAGATTCTTCTCTTGTATACAGAACAAAATGGGGCTTAGATAGAAGCAAAAAAAGCAGGGACATTAAAGATTCTCTGTAAGTATTTTTTACTTTGTTGTCACATATAAGCATCTATGGCTGTAGATTAGTACTACTACTAGTAGTCTACTAGTACCATATTCGCCCTATTGAGCACTCAACTATGATTAAGGGCTCCTCCTCCTCAAATACTTCTTACCTTATAAGTCAACAGGTAAGATCACTATGCATTGACAGTATTTAATAAATTTATTCTTGGAATTACATATCTAATTTTTGTATATTGTTTAAATTGTTTATGCATTACTTTTAAAATGCATTTTAGATGGGGTGCTTTTATAAATGTATCTTCCTATTTGTTTTAATGCTATTACATATCTTGTAACACAACATGAGTTTTACAACAAAAGCACCCCTTTTTTCTAAATGCCCGAGGCACTTAATAGGACAAATACCGTGTTGGGGGGGGGGGGGGGGGGGGTCTTGAAAAAGAGAATCCACACAGTTTACAGGTGGCCTTTGAACATTTTGTTAAAAAATTGGATTTGAACAGCAAGTCTTTGCACTAGCAACCTTTATATGTCAATATATTGCAATTTGAATGACATTTTATACAAAACTAGTGACAATTGGTTGTAAAAGGGATTTTTTAATGTGCATATGTTAATTTCTTTTTTAAATAGAAGATTACCAGTTTATTTTAACCAACATTTATTTTAATATAATGAGAGTTATTTATAGTATTAATGAAAAATTAATGCATGTAACTACTTATGCATTCTGGTAGTTAAGAACTAGTTTAGTTATCTAAAGAGGTAAAATAATGGTAAATAATTCAGAAGTGAAAGTTGCAAATAATTTCTATGACAGATACATTAGAATTTTTGATGTGAATACATAAGAATTTGAATTTATAGTGGAACATTGAAATAAGCAGAATATTTTTTAGGGCCAAAACTCTGTAAGTGAAATGTACTTGCATAGCCACTGGTTATAAGGTTTGGTGAAATGCAACCAGTCCAATAAATGGTATAGAGTCAAAATGTTAAGAATAATGATCTCTAAGTAGGACCTGTTATAAAGTGTGGATGCCCAAGAGTAATTACCATCTCCACCAGTTTCTCCATCCATCAACACTTTTATGTATATGCAATAACTGGAGTACTATTTTCATGGTGGTCACTCCATTATAATTCAGGTTTAAAAGATATCTGTAGATACATCAGTAATAAATTCTTTTTTAAAAAAGCTTACCTATCAATATTTGCTAGACAGGAAGAGAATAGTTCAAGGAAAATGTGTAATGATTTTAGGTCACTTAAAGATCAAAACATATGCAGTGGCATATATTATTTTGTCAATTTTCTTGCAATATACTGTTCTTATACATAGTTTATATATAGAGCAAAACTGTGGAGATGAGAGTAACAAATAAAAAAAACTGTTTTCATTTTATGTGTGAAATTTTAAGAAAAAGAAATTAAAGGCAATCTACTTTGAAGAGAAGCATTATATGGCTTAAACAGATCAAATTTTGAATTGGAGATTTCACTGTTAATTAATGAAAAGTTCAAAACTGCTTTTGTGTTTATTGCGACATTGATGGTTTATCAGGAAATTCAGATTGTCTAAAATACAACACAAAGCAGATAGTTTATATTTCTTCATTTTCAGATTTCTTGTTGCATTTTAAAGGAAAAGGTCAAATGTGAAGGTCAATGTGTGTGATTGACCTAAAGCTGTGGATGACCTTTAATTCATTCTGATTCCAAACAAATCAGATCAATCTCCATGATCTTGTGGATCTTTGCCCATCTTTAAGATCTTTGTTAAATCTCTTGGTAGCACACCTAATTTGCCTTGCCAGAGAAGATGAAAAAGACCTGCAGTCCTCCATATTTAGTATATCATTCTCTTGCGATGGAGTGGGCGACTTATTCGGTCACAGTTGAGCAGTCAATCAAATTGTAGAGTAGATGTAAAGCTTAACTGTCAGTGACAGTGTAATCAAATTAAAAACTTGGCTTTGTGATGACTTGTCTGGTCCTGATCGGGTAATTATCGCATGCAAAGTGTAGTGGCAAGCCATTGACGTAATATAGTGCAAGTTCCCTGTATTCTAGTAGAAATCAATAACATGTTATGTAAAAGGTTCCAAATGTAATAGGCTAGAGTAGAGTACATAGGCTAACTGTAACAAACCACACCTTTAACCCCCCTTGGTCCATAGCAGCTCATTACTATGATCTCTTGCAATTTTCCACCCTGGATAATTACAAACAATTACTGATTCGTCAAGATTAAGACAAGTACTGTGTATGATTGGATATTTTTGTTTTTGTTGTTATTTTTACATTATTAAAAGCAGTGAATTGTTTTCAAGCAATTGTGTTGACATCGTATTACTATGGTTACCTATCAATGTTATGGAAAATGAATGTATTACTATACCAATGCATTGCATTCACTTGTTTTTCTTGCCACATATTGGCCAAGTCCTCTGTTGTGCTGATGGTTACGTGTATTTAAATTTTGATTGCAATTACTCTCTAGCACCAAATCAAGTAATGTTATCTTTTCGAAAATTCAAATTGAGAGTAGACATCAGTATTATCAATTTTCTCTTACAATAATTATTCAATCATACAAGTTATGAATTGATTATCAATATGTAACTCTATCTTTAAAAATAGATAGAAATGACATTTAAAGCAGTTTTCAAGGTATTAAACCAACTATTTATGCAGCATATCATCTCTGATAGCTTTCATCAACATATCTGGGAACTTTATTTTATTTTTTGATAGGTAGCTAGGTTATGTTTTGTTTTATAAATCCATAATGCATAACTTAGTATAGATTGGCCTGCAGGAATAGCAAACCATAATCTACAGTGGCTCAACGATGAACTGGTTTATGGATACTTCTGACACAGACAATGAAAACTATTATATTGAAAATCATACAATGAATTCTTCTTTTTTCCCTTCGCCTTTGATGTTTTCATTTCAATATTAAAAAAATTTCACCGTTTTATATAATGTTCATGTTTTGGAGATCTAATTCTTATCCTTACTGGGTTGGGTGTGGCCAGTTTATTGATGAAAATAATTATTACTGAGATCAATTCTGCATAACAAGCATATAAAAAGAGATCAAACACAGTCCTCTAATTACTATTTGAATCTTACTCTGCAAAGTCCTAATATGTTACATCATAAAAGTCCAGATTTAGCTTGGGTATAACCTAATGTCGGTGATCTGCTGTCATTATAACCTTCACACTTTTTTTTTTTACAGACTCCACTTCTCAGGTAAGAGTAAATCAGCTACCTGTGGAAACAGGGATCCATTTTCACTATTATTACTTTTCCCCCACTTTCATGTTTTTACCATATAATGCCGAAAAAAAAATATGATAAAGATCACACACACAAGCATATTGTTTGAACGAAAAACCTCGGGAGAAAAGTGGCAGAAACCAATATTATATTGACGTCAGAATCTTGCTGATAGAGTGTATTAAACCCATGGAGAGCTCAAGTGATTTATAATTCACAGTACAGTAAGACATGGGAGAACAATGTCCACTCTTGTTAAAAACACAAGATGCCCTGGTGAACTGAGACCAGATGATAGGCTCTGTCAGTAGACAGAGACTTAATGGCTGCAAGTATAATCTGCATCAATTTTACTCAAACTTTAATTTTATACAGTTGTATGATCTAAAAAAAGTAGGTACAAATAGGTTTTCTATATTAGGCTTTATTCCAACGTATGATTTGTCTTTATTGCTTTATGTTACTTTTCCCCAAACTGTATCTCCACTATTATATTGAATTGAACTCGAAATTTTCATGTGTTTCATGATCATGAACCAAAATATACCATTTACTGTAAAATTCCTTCAACATGGTTAAAATGAATTTCAAGGAAGAATTCATTACATTTATTGCAATGTTGTACTACGAATTTTAATCCAAGTGATATCACGGACACCAAAAAGGAAGTAACTATAGGAAGTGAGGGGTCTCTTGCATATAAAATGTTGGCAGCAGAACTCATATTTCCCCTTCTGTAAATTTTCCAACCATTTGGGCCTGTAGAGATCAACTTTATGTGTTTATCCCTCTGCTATTAGCAAGCTGCATAAAAGAAAACTATTTTCATCCTAAAAGTAAGTTGAATGGTTAATTTTAAGAATTGCATGATCAATTTTAATACTTTAAATTGTTTAAAAATATTCATTGAAAATGCAATGTTCCCAAAAATGCAAGTTATATGTATATTTTTTTTCTTCTTCTTGAATTCTCAATATATAATATGCCCTTGCTTAATGGTCATTAAATATGGTATTGAACAAAAACAAGTTTAAATTCCATCAATAGGCAAAACAAAATGATACCAGTCTAATAGCACAGGCAGTGTTACTATACGATGCTGGACTGCCAATCATAAGCTTGCAGATGTTTTCTTGATTTCATTTAGTTCTTATCCTATTAACACATTTATTGTTTATACAAGAAACTCATAACAAGAATTTGCTGAAGGGAAACATTTCAGTAAAAATTTCTACTCTAGGAGGTATGACTATAATGACCAACAGGAAGTAGTCTTAAACAGCTTGATCTTTAGCAGACTTGCGCCCTCTTTTACAAAAAAATATTGTGACTTAAATTGCAAATTATTTTCTTTGCATCTACTTGAAAAGGGATGTACATGTATAGTAGAATTTTGGAAGGTTTTGGAAAGATTTTTTTTTTCATTTGGAAAGGTATTTTTAGAGAGCAATTTTTTTTTTAAAATACTAGGCATGCAAGATGTTGATAGAAACAGCTAAAATTGTTGATCTTAGTTTGTAAGTTATTTCATTAAACTTGGCCTCTGGTCTATTACCGATACATTAAGATGTAGGCAGGAATATTGCCTCCAGGGAAGAGTTTTCTTTATTTTGGTTTGGATTCTTTATTGGAGGATTCTAGAATTTCAAACAAAACTTTGATAAAAAACATTACAGTAGAACTTTGTTATCTCGAACTTCAGTATCTTGAATACCATGGATAAGTTGAAGTGAGTAAAAGCCATAACCACTTTTTCTGTAAGTATTTTGAAATTCATAACTCGAATTATTGTGTATCTCAAAGTGTTTTCTTGGTTCCATCAGGTTTGAGATAACGGAGTTTGACTGTATATGACAAATGAGTATTTTTATGCCCCCTTTTGAAGAAGGGAGGGCATATTGCTTTGCTGCTGTCTGTCGGTCAGTCTGTCAGTTGGTCTGTCTGTCGTTCCACCAATAGTTTCCTTTCATTTTCTTTGCAGAGGTTGCACATACTTAAATGAAATTTGGTATACAGATTTATCATAAAAATATCTAGGTCAAGTTCTGTTTTGGGTACGATCGAGCAATTTTTGACAGAGTTATGCCCCTTGGACTTTGAAAAATTCTAATTTTTTGCAGTTTCCGTTCTTTTTTATTCGCAGAGGTTGCACATACTGAAATAAAATTTGGTACACAGATTTATCATAAAAATATCTAGGTCAAGATCTGTTTTGGGTACGATCGAGCAATTTTTTACAGAGTTATGCCCCTTGGACTTAGAAAAATTCCAATTATTGGGGGGGGGGGGGCATAAGTGTTTCACAAACATCTCTTGTTTTACTGGAAAGGCTGAATCTGCCTAGGCGATGTTCCCATTATTTTTTTGATATAATATCAGACCATGAAATTCTTCTAGATCCCTAGTTTTGCTCAAATTAAAACAAAAAAATGTTACTGAAGTCACAGTCATCATTGTGAGCAAAAGTATTAGATGTTTTATCTCGTATAAAAGAAATTTTACCATCTGTCATACGGTATATTATAATGATAAATCTCAAGAAAATTGAAAGTTATTTTGAATATTTGAATATCTTAAAAATCATATCTGGACAAATGAAATCAATAAATCCAAAGATTCACTGATGTAGTGTAATTATCATACTAATAATAATTGAAGTTAATTATTTTATCTTTTACATTTGCCACATGGTTAAAAATTGATCTTTAAAAAGATAGTGAATCATTTAGGAAGAATGCCTTTTCTAACATGATCATTATTTTTTGTTTCTTTTATTCAGTGATGTGTTGCATGTATATGACATTTAAAAGGCTAATTAGTATGTTTCTGAACATTAAATATTGAAATTACAATCTTGGGTGAATTGTTTTTACGAGTTTTCCATTAATTCCACATGGAGAAATAGTTTGAATTATTTATTATCAAAAAAAAGAAATACAATAATGAGTTTTGTGGATTACACAACCTCATCCGATATACAGATATTGTCATTAAAAATTTGCAGAATTATTAGAAAGAAAAGAAAAATTAACAGAGGATAAAAATATATTTTCCCAAATTACATGTACCATCTGCCCTTACTGTAGGAGAAGATTAAACATTGAAAAAGACAAAAAGTGAGTTGTAATCTTGCAGCTTGACAGTAACAGTGTGTTAATTCATTCTGACCTGCTAGTATTGGCTTGACGTCAGTTGTTCAGCAAGTATTGAATTCCTCATGATATTACATACTCGCTTGTAGAAGTGAAGGGAAACAAGACTCTGCTCTAAGGATTATATTTTAATATTCTGTTCTAGATAAATCGGAAGAAGGCTCCATATGTCGATTTGATTTGAAAAAAAGTGGATATAAATAGACTTTCCAAAGTGCAAAAGTCTTAAAAAGGTAAGATTTAATTGCCCGGACCTAATCATTGACCCAGCTATCGGTGTGTAATAGCTTTTTGAAAATCTTGTTAAACTTCTGTGCTTGCCTTAATAAAGTATTCAGTTAACATGTAAGCTACAGTAATGAAAGGTCTATTGATAAAAGGTACCGTAAATTTACTCTTCTCGTGTCATTGGTAATGTTTTGGATAGAAAATAACAGGACTACTGTAGACATTGATCAATAATTTCCACAAGTCAAAGGTTTTACCTTTACACACATACATCACCATTCAGTATTGATGCTGGGTAATTATTAGGTAATTTTTTTACTACCTCAGTTGATCTCAAATGATTTAAAAATCTAGAATTCAGAAAACAATTTTGATTTTATCACTTCTCTATAGAATAAATATAAAGCCTTTTCCTGTATTAGTTTTCATAAGGAAGCCAGTACTTGTGTACCACTCTTTCTTATACAAGCTATTGCAAAATATGGTTTAATAGCTTTTGTAGATTGAGATTTAAACTACCCCTGATTATGTCAGGACAATGTTTTCTTCACAAGGTTGTTGACTTAGTCTTTGAGATAGAACTTTACGAGGTTCATAAACCAGTTCTTCACCCAGGTATTCTGGGGATTCGGTACTCCCCCTCACTTCACAAAACACAGGACTTCTTTGTAAATGTTGGACGTACTTAGGGTCAATTGTACTTTATTGTCAAATTCAAAAAGGATTAATGTGTTGCCATTGGAGTAATGATGTATTTTTAATTTCCTTCTTACAATTTTGAAACATTGAAGAAAGTTATATATAATGAAATGATTCTATTATAAGAAGAGGTAATCTAATTTTATAATAATAAAAGACACATTTGTCTATAGGGCGATACAGCCACAAATCATTAGCTTGTGACCGAAATAAACCAACCATCCACTAATCCACAAGCTTGAGTACTTTGAACTGAACTGATCAATCAAATAACCACAAGCTTTGTATCACTAACAACTAGAAAGATAAAAGTTGATCTGCTTACAAACCACAAGCTTGTGTCATCAGTACCTTACCTCAAGCTTGCATCATAATTAGTACCTAACCATAAGCTTGTGTCATCCATAAGCTTGTTTCATTAATTATAACTTTCCACAAGCTTGTGTCATAATCAATACCTATTCATAAGCTCATGTTTATTAATTCCTAACCCCAAGCTTAGTGTCATTATCAGTTCCTAACCACAAGCCATTTGTCATTGTCAGTACCCAACCACAAGCTTATGTCATTATCAATACCTAACCACAAGCTTGTGTCATCAGTACCTAATCAAAGCCTGTGTTTATTATCAGTACCTAACCACAAGATTGTGTGGTCAAAAGCTTGTGTTATTATCAATACCTAATCACAAGCTTGCCTCATTATCAATACCTAACCATATCAGTACTTATAACCACAAACTTGTGTATCATTTATCAATACCTAACCACAAGCCTATCATTATCAGTTACCTTACCACAAGCTTTGCATGTTGGTAACTTAGCTCAGATAAATTAATCTCAAGTTAGTGTCCATATTTAACCACTGGCAAATACCACCGTTCTTGCAATGATCTGGTTTGTGACTTGATCACAAGCTGGAACCAGTCTCTATAAGATTTAAATAGATTTGTGGGAGGCTATGCTTAATAGAAAAGTTAAAAAAAAAGGTGATATTCCCGATTGCTCTCTGAGATAATATAATTAGCAGTACAGGCAGCCATATGAATTATTGATGTGTAAAAACTACCACCATTATTGTTTTCAGTGGTTGAAAGGAAATTTTGTTGGCATAAATTTTCTAAATATGTCACACAGTAATGAAAAAGGTTTACTTTTGTTTGAAACTATATCCTTGAAAAAAAAAATTTCTACACATTACACAAGAATACATTTTGAAATGCACTTTATTTCTTTGAACTATACTTGATATCAAAGTGTTGGTGTCCTCAGTGTTACCAAAAATTCAGTAATCATGGTGGAAGATTGAGAAATTTTTAAGACTTTTTAAAGATCAAAGAAAAAGAACAATTTAAAGTAGGTCCTGTTTCTTGAGATGATTTCAGAAGAGCCAGAAAATATGACAGAATAAAGCGGGTGTTGATAAAATGGATATTTGATGTGCCAAGGGGCTGCTATTTTCTATTTGGTGTCAAGTTCTGGTAAGGTGGAAAATGAAACGATAGACAAATGATAGAAATGAGTATGATTTCAAAGAAGAATTCGGTATATTGGGAAAATATAACCAATTTTTAATCTGTTCTTGTTCATTTTGGATTAATGAGCACTTTTCTGTGAATGTTTTGGGAGATATTCAATATATTGTGATGACCAAAATATGATTTTTTTTTCCCTTTTATTTTATCAAGCAGTAAAACGAGCAATATCAATTCAGAGCTACTTTTCAGTATAAAAATGGTAATGCAATTTTCACTGACAAGTCGGGAAACCTCAGTGGCATTTTAATTTAATTGCACAACAATCGAACAAAATGATAACGTAGGTGTACCATTAAAAATTCATTCCCTCAAGTTTTCAATTACTGCTCAAATATTGATAATCACCAAACACTTCTCTTTTTTTTCTTGCAGTGTCAAACTATGAATACTGCAGAGAGAGAAAGAGAGGAAGAGTCCTTTTAACCTGAACCACTATAGTGTATTAATGATTATAGCAATACAGAGGCTTTTAGCTCACCTATCAGACTTTGTTTATTATGTATTGATTGCCTTTTCTATTTGGCATTAACTTTTCATATGTTTGACTTTTCCAGCATGCTACATGCAAAGTCACCAATTCTGACACAGTTTTTTTTATATTAATCTTAGTGAGGTACTGTACCATGGTTACTGAATAACTAAGATTTTTTTTAATACTTTCCTAGAAAATTTATGTCCAGTCTTCAGATCAGTCACAACTTTTCTTAGTAAAAAAAGTGAAAGGGGTGAAGGTTTTCTGTTGCCAATTCAAATCTGAATGGCTGGGCTATTTCCTCTTCATTAGAATTAGTGGGTATAAATTTTTTTTGTAGTATGTAACATTAAAAATGGGGGAGGGGGCACTGATCCAGGAAACACTTGCACAATATTATTTGACTAACCTTTTAAAGATTGTGCTATGTAATCTTGTTGTTAAGGAGTGTCGTGGTGTTTATTTTATTCCTACACAAGGCTGATGAATCCTGAGGTGGCTCAGGTGAGCATTGTAGCTGGGTGGCCTCTTGTTCTGTATTTCTATGCTCTACTGCCCACCACTCAATTCATGTTTCCCATATCATAGCCCTCTATGTATAAATCTTCACACATTACACAGTTTTTATGCTCGTAATATTGAAGGGGAGTTGTTTAAAAATTATTTTCTTCAAAATATTGTGTTTTTCTAAGGGAGTTACCAAAGTCATTTGATTTTGAAAGGTAAGACCATGTGATAACATATTTCATTTTCACTTGTACATTCCTTACATGTATACCAGTAAGTATATTTGCTTATAAAATCTCAAGTATTTATACAGTGTACAAGATTGAATTATGATAATTGTTGTAAAAGCCTGATGACTTTCAGCTAGAGGTTGTGTAAACCGGGCTAAGGTAGGAGAATTTGTGTGTCACTACACAGGTAGTTTGTGTTTTCCCATTGATCAGTCATTTCCATTCCATGTAGAATATCTCAGTTTCTTCGTAAATGGCTTTGGGGGGAGTCACGAATCTGCTGTCAATTTGATGCTGTTACGTTATCAAACAAGGTGGTGTTGCCTTTGCCGCACAGTGTTCAAACAATCAGTCAAAAACAGCAATCAGTTGCATATTAATTAAAAAATGAGATTGATGATTTCTCAGTATACTTATCTCACAGCTGTACGTAAATTTTGAGTTTTGTTTGTGATTTCCGGGGGTATTAGGTATGTTCAGCTCATAAGTTTCATGATTTCCGAGGTCACTCATCGCTGAGATTTGAACAAAGTCCTCATTAAATCATGTCAGTGATCAACTATGCTTCATTTCATTTGTCAAGGTATTCATATATTATGGAAATGAGCGGTAAATCATGCTACCTTTAAAAGCTAAATTTAATTACATTTCATCAAGGAAATAATTTTTCGAGTCCTTTTAATACTTGCTGGAGGGCTTTTGAACAAGTCGTCTGTCTTTTTTCACTTCATTTATATCAGCCTAATTTGTTGATGTCACCTTCATTATTCTGAGTCAAAGTAAAGCAGGGTCTTTTATTTTTCATTCCGTAATCCGGAAAAGAAGGACGTTAACAGAAGACATTATGAATGTTGCACTAGGTCAGTTCTCTTAAATACAAAAAAAAATAATTGGGGATATTAATAGTGTCATTACTGCACAAATTAACCACAGAATTTTGCATAATGCCTGTGTATGACTTTACTACACATTTTTAGATATTAGAAAATGCTCAAATTTATTTTACATTGTACATTCCACATTACAGATATAAATATTATCTCAGTGAGTGAATGATTTTTTTTTTTCATGTAAATTTGGATGAAATTTATTTCAAAATCTGCAGAATAATTTACTGAAAAGTGAAAAGCTGGTGTAGGATTACCAAGTTATTTAGGAGTCAATAACATGTACGTCAGGAAGTTTTTCATACCAGAATTTACCACTCTTTGATATGCATTTTTTATGTGTTGTTGGTCATTTATATGGGTCTTTTTGTCAACTAAACAGTGTTGCCGTCCTTGCCAACAGTGATGTAATGTGCAGTCGGGTCTTTTTTTGCTCTGACATGCTGCAATAACTAAGCCATATTTAAGGTCGCTTTATGGAAATTGATTATTTGCCATGCATATTTGAGTGCCAAATCAATTTGTGGCTATCAATTTATATAAAAATTCATGTGACGCATATAGATAAAGCATAAATCAATAGGCTATAAGCAATTCCTTGTGCTGAGTTTGGTTTGGCCGTAGAATACTAAAGAATAAAGATCACTTCAGAGCCATTAATTGTAACACTCAAGTCCTTCATTTTTCCTGGTAGTTCCTCTAGGTAAAAGGTTGAGAGACAAAATTTCGATATTCCTTTTGCATTAAGTCTTCTTTAACAGTGATTTTACATATTTAAAAAAATTACTTTTTTTCGGACATTTTCTCACTTTGCTTGTAGATATTGAGCTGATGTTTGGTATGTGCCTTTGTATTGATGACTTAATTACAAGTTTCATGTCAATACCTATTTTAAAGAAAGTTATTGCCCGTAAACTTTGAATATCTAATTCTTCACTGTTTGTAGACCTTTGTAGAGAATTAGCTGATTTTTGATGTGTGTCTTTATATTGATGACTTACAGATCAAGTTTGAGTTTCATATCGATTTACACATCCCCCCCCCCCCCCCAAAAAAAATATATAGACCCTAGATTTTTAAAATTTATTACTATTTATCATTTTTATTTACTTTTTAAATGTGGTAGTTGATCACCATTTTCATGCACCTAAAGTATGTTGTAATATTGATAAGTAATTCCAAAAAACAAAAATAGAAAAATGATATCTTATTTTTGTCTCATTTTCACCCTTTAGTATTTACAGTAAAACATGCTTATAACAAAGTGCCAGGGATGGATGATTTTACTTCATTTTAAACATTTAATTTTAAAGCCACAGGGAATGATAATAATTTGCTGTGTCAATTCTTTATAAGCATGTTCATTATAAGCATGTTTTACTTTCAAATGTTTTAAAAATTGCTTGTCAGCGAGGGCATTCATGTCACACTGACACATCTATTTCTTTCTTTTTTCCCTACAATAATGTCTTATTTTGTATAAATATACATATTTCACCCATCTAATCTCTTGAGGGGGGGGAGGGGGGGGATGGGGGTATTTGAAATAAATAAAGAATGCCGATATGAATCAAAAGATAATTCAGTATTGATACATGTAGCATTATATGTCCAAAAATTTTGAAATGCACAGATATATATGGGCCTTGATCTAAAAACTTTCAGGAAATTGTGGCAGGCCTTATAATAAATGAATGTGACAACAGGTGGTTTTATTATGTGTCCGGTATAGGGGCACTAATTAATTAATCCGTTCCAGACAATTTAGGAAATTAAACCTATTAAGGACCTTGAATGCATAGAATGTTTTGTTTAAAGTTCATTCACCGTGACTGAGCAGTGTAACCTTTGAAGAAATATTTCTTTAAAAAAAAATCACAGTGTACAGTATTCTACTTTATTTTATTGTGTTGAATTTTTTTGAAGTCAACAGTATGAGAGGAATATAAACAAGGTAGGAAGTGGTGCTAAAAATAATACTTGATCTTCCTGTTTTGAATTTGAAACAGAAAAAAAAAGACAATGGAAAGAAATGAAGATAAATAGAGATGTACTTAGACCACTCAACCTCTCTTAGCTCTATCCCAAATTTATTTTGAGGGTCATGAACATTCTGTGTCAAATATCTGTTCATTACGCACAAAAATCCACTACGTACTTTTTAAAAAAAATTTCCTTTGATTTACTATGTGTTATCCTTGATTTTTTTTTTTAAATTGGATTTAGATCCGATAATGAAACATAATTGGGTTTGCTTGTACTTTTGTTTTTATGAAGGAATGAACATCTAGTTCTAATTATTGAAATTTTTTTATTAGCTATTTTGATTATTCAAGTTTGTTTATGTCTAGGGGGGAAAAGCAATTAATACCTACGCGAACAGAGTCTATGGAGATGAAGCTGCTTCTTTCAGTGCATAAGACCCAAGCTCTGAAAAATCAATCACAAAAAATAGGCTTACATTTGATACAATTTTTTTTTTAATATTCTGATGTATCACAAAAATCTTTGTTGTTTAAGAGTATGGTGCATTGTGAGAAGAAAAAATTTACCACATGGTGGCAAGCAATAAGACTTAGAGCAGAAGGCAGAGAGTTGCCATGACGTCAGGCTCGCATTTCATTAGGGAAGTCTGTACATATGTGATATCATAGATTTCAACAGCACACTGCTTTTACCTGGCAATTTTGAGCATTTTTCTCAAGCTTGTTCGTTGTCTTTATATATGTATTGGATATTGGGAGATAATGGAATTTACCAACACTCCAGAAGCTGTCTTAGATGCAGACCTTATGTAATTAGAGTGTTTAAATGTAAGTTTTGTTTGGATTTTTGGTTCATCTATTTTTTTTAGGGGGGAGGGGGATTTTACTTGCATTTTTTATCTGTCAGAGAATGCTTGTTGAGTTTTAAATCCCTATTTTTCATTTGGATCATATATTTTTTGTGCATTTCAGAGTACACTTTGCTTGTATTGATGTTAAACGTTTTTTGTCAGCAACATGAAGTGGTATACTAAAGTTTAGTTTGCTAACATATCAGTTGAATAGAAAAGATCCCCCTTTTGTTCGTTTTGGTGAGCATTTAATATGCTTAGGATTGCTTTAAGATCAAAATTCCAATGAATTCAATTTTTCTATCTTTTTTTTAAACCATAGCTGAAATATTTTAGTTTGGTATGTTTATTAAGAGGATTTATCTTAATGCATCTTTTGCTTCCTACAAGCTAATTGATACAAGATTTAATCATCAGAAATGCTGATAAATTGTGGTAGTTATTTTCTGAGGAGACATTCATGTCTGATGTATATATATATGTGTGTGTGTATTGGGGTGCCGTCAGATCTAACCACTGCTTAGAAACATGAATGACTCATCCCTCCCTGCTAATGTGGGGTCGAGGCCACTAACGATAAGGTGGAAGGGGGCCTAATTTTTGTTTTAATGGGATAACTCAATTTAGGGAGATAAAAATTAAGTTTTCTAATGAGAATTTGGCTTGTGCTGATTTCAAATTAGTTTGCAGTCTTCGAATTGATGTTTTTGAAGTTATGTTTCATTAATATATTTTGGGCCATTATAATATTACATATAAAAGTGGCATCATTAGAAAAACATTAAAAATTGCTAATGGAAAGTTAATGATTAATAAGGAAATTAGTCATATAAAGTGATTAAGCAGAGAAGAAAATTGTTTTCTTTTAAAAATGATAATGATTTTAACCACTGATATTAATGAATTTATACACATATTAATAATGACCATATACCATTGGGGTTAGAATTTTTATGTGATATAGATAGGTTTAGGCTATTTGTATAGAGAGAGTATAAATTGAAATCAACAGTGTCATATTAGGATCTGAAAATGTATATTTGGGTCACATTAACTACTTCATGATGAAACTGTTTGAGTATAGTGCTCACAGAACTTTGTGACAGTATTTCCCCTATAGATTAAGTTTATCTGGTTTGGTTCCAGGTGCACGAGTACTTTGTTCTATTGTTTCCAATTGATACACTTGCGATATGATTATTTATGAGTAGGTAATGCAGTAATTAATATGTTCTTTGGATTTTTAGTATTATCTACTTTGTATGTCACAGTTAAGTCTCTATTGCAAACACACCCAATGAATGATGAATGCTTTCACAAAGAATAGTACAGGTCAAAACCAACAGAATTTGTGCATGTTGGATGGCAAGTTTCCTGAGGTTTTTGCTAACTGTTGGATGTTTTGAACACAATGAACACAAAAATGATTTGAGAGAAAGAAATTGATAACTAGAGAGGAGTTATTTAACAATTGGGGATTTGTGAATAAATTGAATCTTCCCATTGTCCTAAATCTGATTGAAAAAAAATACACATGATACCACTGAGGTTTTCTTGTTGAAATTCATCACCTGAGGATATCATTATAGGCTACTACTGTACTAAACATTATAATTCAGTATCTTTTGAAGAGCCTGCTGTTTATTCTGAATTTAAAAACTTTAAATTTATTTGGAAAATTGCCTAATTTCTGGACATATTTCAACCAAACTTCAACAGCAGGATGATTTTAGACACAGTATTCTATAATTGCGCCAAAATACAGTTGGTGCTTTAACAGAGATGCTGACGCGGAAATTATGCAGCCGACATTCCTTGAAAAAGTCGCAAATGTTGATGCAACTATGAAGTGGGTTGACACCAGGAAAATAAGACATTGATGTACCAGTGATGACAAGGCGCTGGGCATCCGGAGCACAACGAGTGTGACCTTGTTTTGTCGTACACGGAAATTTAACTTCATAGTCAAATTCACTTCCTATACTGTCACTCAAGTTTTGAGTATAGCTATGTATTTGAGCATAAGCTTCAAGAGGGTCAGTAGTGATCGCTGAGTCAAAAGGATCAAGTCATTTAGGTAATAGCTGCATGTTATTTCACTTTTGTAACCTGTTTGTCGTGAGTTATACAATGTACGAGTTTTTCTTGTAAATTCCACGTAGATGTTATGGATGGATGAATCATTTCAGACTATTTGTTGTAAGACATTGTTTACAACCGAAATTTTCCACAAAACAATGTCTACTATACATCCTGTAGAATTAAGTATTCTGACATCATTTAGGTGATAAATGTGTTTACCTTTTAACCCTACCTAAAGATTTAGAGAAGGATTTTGGAATAATATGATTTTTTATCTCGTTAATCGTTAACTTACATAATCTTGACAAATAAATTGATTTTTTGCTATGTTCTGTAAGTCAAAAAATTGGTAGTTATAAAATGCTTCGATGTATAAAGAATTTGTCTGTAATAAATTGAAAGCTAGGCAATAAATATCTTACCTTACTTTTAGGCATTTAATTATCTTGTCCACATGTTTTATATAATACTTTATGGAATCCAGCAATATTTTAAGGAAATCACTGTCTTCAATAGAAAAAACTCCCTTATTCCATGAAAGTGAAAAAAACTGCTGGGAGAAATGACTTTGTGTATGGCTTTATAGACTGCATTGCTTTAATTTTAGATTGTAAATACTGTCTGTATTTATCTTTACTCTGGCTATTTTCGTAAGAAGAATTTGTAGTAGGACAAAAAGATATTTTCGTCGTAGTAGCGTAATATTTTTAGCTCTGACAGTGGGCAAATTTAGATAAGTTGTATTCTAAAACTGGATAGCTAAATCTGGCAACCTTACAATTGTGTAACTCTGGTGGGTCGCTATAGTGTTTTCCAGCTCACTATTTTTATTTCATCATCAATATATCAAATGTGATATCATTGAGCTCCGATATGGTTTATGAAGTGCAAGTTAAATAAATACCTGATTGTGTCAGGAAAGACTGGCAGAGAAGGGGAGGAATTGATCTTTGTTAAAGTCTGCAACTGTGTACATAATGGAAAAAACAAAATCTAAGTTGTCTGGTCGCTCAGTACGGGCATTAGATAAGCTAATTTTGTATGCAGTATATTATTCTTATAGCTGTCAGATATGTCATTTCAGGCATCACAAATTCCTGAATAGCGCTTTAAACAAGGCAGAAAAACAACTTCTAAAGAATCCTGTTTTGCGGATCTGCAGTTGGCATTGTGTCATGACACAAGAGTTTGCAACATTAGGCCCCTCAGTAATACATCATCTGGATGGGGAATTTTAATGAAAGTATCCATGAATATTTATTGAATTGAAAATTCTAAATTATTCTGTGGTACCTATATGATGAGAAAAAGTATGTATGGTGATGTTTTCAGTGTACGTAATCACTGCTGGAATTTTTCCACAATACCAGTACATGTACCTGCAATGTCAAATTTTAATGCAACTTGCTGCATTGATAACAGCTTGAACTTGTGACATGCAAACAAGTTGTGTTTAAATCTTAGCACATTATATTGAAATGTAGACTTGGATAAGTTATTCAATCAATACTAGTTCTTAAAAATCTGAGGTCTTTGACATAGACCTTGGCAACAAATCTTATAAGATCTAAATTGATTCGACTTCGGAGTATTTGGAATAGATACAGTGCCTCTTGACACTTTAAGCAGGAAAATGTGATTTTGAGGATCAGGTCCTTGTCGAAGGGACATGACCCGAACATTGGCTTACAAATGTCGACCCATCAAGAGTAACTCTCTGGGGTTGCACTCAATATGTCAGACATGTTGGATGTCAGTGCATGTTCCAGAGCAAACGAATTTATTAAATATTTATTTTCAGTGTATTTTTGAAAAAGTCCAATAATTTATCAGAATTGAATTAAAGTTCCGTGCATTGCATATCATGCAGTTCATGTAATAGCATTTTGAAAGGAATATAGCAAGAGCATATTATTTATGATAGAAAGACTATATTGCAGATACATGTATGTCCTGCATGGTCAATGAACTTCGGTGCTATATAGAGTTAGAACCTGTAATCTTGTTGTAGAAGGATTGGTTCTAAGTACAGGAAATTCATAATGATAACAGGTGTCTTCAAATCTTTAGGTTCAATAGTAGTACAAACCGATGGGACTTCTTTGTGGTCACTAGTTGAAGGTCACTCTTGTTGAATTTTTTTGGATCGTTGAAAAATTGAACATCCTCTTTCCTGATTTTATGCAACTCTGAAAATAATCCCTTAATCTGAGGAGGACCTCATTTAAGACACTAATGACAAAGAATATTAATTTCCTGTAATTTTTCAAATAGTTTACAAAGAGGAATGTTAATTTCCTGTGATTTAAAGAGGGATGGCTTAATTTTGAGTACATATATGCACTTATTTTAACCTTTTATTATTTTTTTAGCTTAACCATCATCTCATAAATATAGATATTACTGTAGTTTGTAATCTTTTTTTATGAGAAGAATATTTTCTATTTTTACTTCGGAATTAATTCAATAAATTATTTTGGATGGAAATATGAACATGCACTTTTGGGCGAAGGCATGTGTGTGTTTAATTCATATAATGATAATTGTCTCCTAAATGTTTTGTCATTCTGTAATATAAATGAAATTAAGTGGCAGTGGAAACTTGCACTGTTTTTCCCTTTCATAATTTTATGCTAATGTTATTGAAATTTTGTCTTGGTGTATTAATTATTCCAAATTGAAATTTATACCATTTTATATATAACAAAATGCATTAATGTTTTCTGATTAAGAAGTAATTATGGATGAATATAACACTGACACATATTTTAGCATTGTTAATTAATATGACATTAAACTGAGGAGAAGGGTTTTTTGTGCTCGAGCGGACTTACAGGCGGCTGTGGTCTTTGGTGAGGGTTGATCGGGAGACAGCTCTGTCACATCTTATGTGGCTCTTCATTTTCTCATGAAATATTTTTTTCCAGTGGTATGAGATATGTACAGGTCTCAGATAGTATAGGCAAGGACAGGTAAGATCATTTCAGTTATTTTATCTCATTCCTTCCATTAATTGCTATATGTCAATCTGTTTTAATTGAAAAGGAGGAAATCATGAGAAAATTGTGTGGATTTATTAAGTTTTGGGGGGTTTAGGGTCATTTTATAGCTACTGTTATGCCTCAAAAGTATACAAGAAACACCAGTTATGATATAGATGAGCAGTCAGCTGTGAAGAAATTACTTGGCAAATATACAATCATAAATCTTGGTCACTGAAGATCGGACTTCTTATTTTAGTAATACGGGGACTATTTTTAGCTCTGCCAGGTCTAAACTTAGGTGACTAGCGACTGTAGTGTCTTTTTTGTCCCTGAAATCTCAGAGGATTTAAATATTTTACATACATGCTCGGTTGAAAATAATCTTGGATAAATTAATTGGTTGGAATGGTTTTGGGACTGCATTTTGTCTGTCCGTGTGTTTTACCAGCCAATTATTAGTCCACTTTAAATGTTCCTAGACAGGTATGATAGATATTTTGTTTGATGTGTCATTTAGTGGAAAATGTTCTTCAAAATATTGGAGTATTTGTGTTTGACATTTATGTTTATAGATGCACCACTTTGACTTCTAGTTTTGGTACAAATATCAAGTATGATTGGGATAGAATAAATCTTCGTGTGACATGTATTTGTGTAGAGTTCGGGAAGTGTACCGTATCTTTCATCCATTGTACTAGAGTTACATGATCACATTCTTTGTGCAAGAATTCAATGCTTTTTGATTTGTAGATGATGACCATCAATTTAATTGGCTATACTACAATGTCATACAAGCTAAAACACTGATAACTTGTACAGATAAGGCTGTTTTCTATTTCAAAAAGTTCATATATGAACTTGAAAGAGATTGTTCTCTTAGATAAAGATTGTTAAGATGGAGAGTTTTTCAGCTTTACCTTTATTCAGACTTGTTATACATGTATTATTATATTCCCGACATTACCTACATGGATATGATAGAAAATCTACCAGACACTGTGAAGGATATTTCTTTAAGATTTGCCACCCTAGTTATGTCAGGTTACAAAATCTTGAGCCAAAGAATCCTTTGGTGTGCATATTGCTGAAATCTCTGTGTGAGGCCCATTAAGGAAGAAGATTTAGTTTACTGTATCTCATTTTATAAAATATAAATGAAACTTAGAGTTATGTATTGATCACTTGCTGCTAGAAGAGAAATTAGCCTCCACAGTGAGCCCAGAGCCCTAAATTTTATCTGTATTTCAAGGTCAAAGAAGCAATGTCTTGTTAATTGTTTAATGAGTGGTCTCTCATTATCAGTTATAATCAAGGAATTTCTTTAAAAGGTAATTATACAAGTACAGAAGGGACAAAATTGTAATGGATTCATTTGTTTCCAATTTATAACACAGATTTATTCTGATTGTGACAGTCTTATTTCACATTGAAAATCTCACAGTGCGGAAGCTCAGAAAAAAAACATTTAGGAAATAAGATGGGGATATCACTTACTTCAATGTGTAGCTACTTAACAAGATAGGAACAAATATCCGTATTTGTAGAAGATTAGGCATTTATCACATTTAAAAATGCAAGTTCATAACACTTTTCTCCTTTTAATATCAACAGATTTGATTTATGAAGACGGAAAAAGCTGGTATAGACATTGACAACTTTAACTCTGTGCAAGATTTTGTTGTTGTTTTTTACATGGCTCTGTTTTTCCTATAATTGCGGCATTAGTATAGTATTTTGTTGATTTTGTAAATTGCAATATGAGATCCTGGTTTATTTGTACATTACTCTTCTTTTATTATGATATGTTTGTCTTGAAGTGATAATTGTGGTTTGGCACATATTTTTGCAACTCATTTGGGATATATGTTTGCAGTAGTGATAATGTTTTTTTTTTACCCAAGGAAAGACATCAGATTTCTTATACCTTTACAGCACTGTGGTGATGTGTGGTTTTAGCACGGGCACTTTCTCACTTCTTTGGTTCTTAGAATAAGAGTACATATGAAAAGCTTATAAAAAAAAAAGACCTTGAAAACATCACAACAATATTTTTCGTTACAGTTTTAGTATCTTTAATGAAAAGAAATTTTTTTAACAAAGCAGTCGCCAGAAATATGTCTTATTATGAGTAGGATTTGACCTTGCGGTGAGCTAAAATCCTATTAAATTGGGCTATTTCTTACTTCATTCATTACTGATCTGCACTTTTAAAGTCTTTATACTGGTAAAATAAAGTAGATTCTTCCATTCTAAGCATTTTTTTTCCTAGACACTTCATGGCTTAGTTCCATAGATTACATTATTGAAAAAAAAGCCTCATGATACGTAAAATCAAAGAATTTTTGACAAATAATGATAAAAAATCATGAATAAAACATGATTATGGATTCATCAATATAATTTGAATATTGCTGGTTAATTTGTTTTTTATCAATCAGACATTAATTAAATGCATGTATTCAGACACTTTTATGAATGACTATATAGAGAAATAATCAAGAATGGCTTACCTGAAATAAATTTGCATTATCTTTTGAGTTTCTGATTGATGTATCATTGAAAGGGTTTTTTTTTTTTTTGAAGAGTTTATCTTTCCCTTTAAATTAGGTTGACAGATCCAAAAGTCTCCAGCTAACTTTCTAATCATTCCAGGTTTTCAAATTTTTAAAACTGATCAGCGATGCTTTGTGATTTTCAGCTGTTTGATAATCATTGACTGTATCCTGAAAATACTTATAATTTTTATATAATAGTGAATTTCAGTCCAATGCAGTTTTCTGTGGTAAATTGTGCATACATTATTTTACATTTATTTAGCTGAAATTTGGGGCAGGCATAACAATAATGTTAACACAGCAGGTGTTTGTGATGGACACTACTGAAGTATCAACAATCAAGTGTCCCTCCCAGGTGTGAGTTCCAAACTCAGTGTAGGTCCACAGAAAACTTCATGCCAGGTAGAAAATCACAGGTTCACTGTTGCCCACATGGGTTTATCAGCGCAGGGCAGATAAAAACTTTGCCTAGTGTGTTTATCAGTATTGTAGCATATGGGTCATGAGTTAGACAGGTCTGCCCACTCCGAGACTCGTGTCGCCTCACAGCTGCAGAAACTCAGATTTAAGTTCAGTACTATTTCTCTTTCAATGGGATAACTGTGTTTTAAGTGATAGATAATAGTGACTTATTTTTTTCCTTGTGTTCTTGTCTGCAAGTGTGTGTTGGTTCTAAAAGAGCAAGAACTAGGAATTGGTTCCTCATGATTTCTTGATTTTTTGATAATTTGGATGAGCTCGGATATTAAGCTAAATGACAGAGTAAGTGTGCCATTTTCTCTGTTTCGTCTTCTTGTTTTAGGAGCTCAGTGACCCAAAACTCTGGCATTAATCAATTTTTTTTCTTCTGCTGCAGTTTTGCACTCTTAATTGTAAAATTCAATATTTTGTGAACTTATCTAAGGACAACTTTGAAAAATAAAACACTGGAGAAAGATCGATAAATTATTTAAGGTCACCTGTTATTGTTAGGAGGCGATCCACATTCATTTAAGACCTAATCAATATGATTGTTGAATTAATGATAGATAAACAGTATTTTTTCCAATGTTAAGCAGACTTTTCCGCAGCGAAAGAGTCAAGCCGCAGGAGTGCAGAGTGATTGTATTCTCTGCTTGGTAATCTAATGATAAGGAGCATACATTCTGTTTGATCAGACCCTGATTAAGATTTGTTTAATTAATGTCACATAAAATAGTTATGTGAAAAGAAATATATAGTTCAAGTTATGTACCATGGGGATTATATACTATTCTGTTTTAGGTTTGGTTTTAAGAAGTATGAGTAATTGAATTTAATGTTAGATACAGGTATGGCCTAAAATGAGCTTGCTTTTTTTAAGTCGTGATTAACACCAATTATTGTCAAGGTGGAGCTGGAAATTGATGATAAACGGTGCGATAATGAAGTTCTAGCTAGCAGATGCATAAAAAGGCCCATAACTCCAGCCTTATCCAAAATAAAGATGTCCTATTACCACAGTTGTGTCTGATCCATCATCAGGAAGACAGTTTTAAACATTAATTAGTGCCCCACCTGTTAATGACCCTTGCATATTGCCCTTTTTGTGTTCAAAGCTCTCTGTTTTACAAGGCCTGTTTTTTTTTTTTTGGCTGGATAAATGATGGATTACTTTGTACATGTATGGTTTCAGAAATTGTCGCAATCAAAAAAAGTTAGCCTCTGTAAACTGATGATATCAACATCAAATGTTTTTCTAATGAAAACAGCAATTGTCCTACAAAAATAAAAGATACATCTTAAAATTTAGTAATTTATGTGGCACATGCACTTGTATGGAGAACCTTGAACTTGTATGAATTAATGCTTATGGGTTAGACTGTGTATATTTTGATGTGAAAGTGGATCAAAGCAAGCAGCAATTAATTGGTATGTGCAAGTAAACAGGCTTGTGTTTCAACATAGATGACAAAAGCATTGTATAAAGTGTAAGATCAATAAAGTGACGCAAGTCCGTAATGAGTTTAGAAACCAACATAGCAGAAAGTAGATAATCTACAGCATGCTGTTAGGTGGTAGGCTTCATCTATCCTCGTAGATGACATAAATTCTCAATTGAGGCCAATAACTTCAGTCTCTTCGCATGCATGGTGTCAACATCTTTTTCTTTGTACGTATATAGATGTAAGTGAATGCTCACTGTACAAGACGTGTACAAGTTCTGAATGGCTGTAATTTGAGAATTCTTCCTGTTTCTTGTGTAATGATTATTTTTTTTCTCTCTTTGGCAGAGTTGTGTATAGATCAGGTGACAAAATAGAGGTGGCGACAGATTCCGCAATCAGAGGGGGCGGCAAGGTACCCGGGAAGATGGGCCGGAAAAAAATCCAAATCTCACGAATCGGGGATGAGCGAAACAGACAGGTAAGAAAAAGCTGCTAGTAAAACGATTGTCATTTATATTGAATGGTTCTAAGACTGGGTATTTGTTTTCTCTACATCTTTAATATTCTCTTCCCAATTAAGTTTAAATCTCTGTTGATTCTGTATTCTGTCCAAATTTCAACTTATGGCTAGATATGTTTTGAGAATACCATATTATTTATATGAATCGAACTGAGTATGCATGCAGTTCAAATTCTTCACAGACTTAGCGGAAGGTAGATGTGGAAATAAAGAAATTAAATGATTAGGTTTTAAAAAAAAATTATTAGAAGGTAGGGTAGGGTTACCTAGTACACATTTAAAAATTAAATTATTTGAAATATATTGCTTTTTTTTTTTTCATATATATACTTTAGAAAATAAATGTAATCTTTGAATGTGTTATGTAGAAGTGATTAAATATAAATACATTGAGAGGGTAAAGATGAAGCATCTGTAGGGGATCAAGTAGAGGAATTGCCCAGCCATTATGTAGGGCTAATTACCATTGCACCTGTCTTTAGAGTGCAGGACCTTTTACCTCGAAACAAGCACCTGCAGATTGCATAATCCTCTCTGTGATGGCCAGAGACAATTGGGTTGACAGATGATGCCATGTCACTAGAGAGACAGGCATTTGGTGATGGCAGAATTTGGTTTAGAGGGGGTGGTTGTAATTCTGACAGCTCAGGCAAAACTGTTGTCTGAAATAATGGATATTATACTGGTGGGCAGATATCATTCTTACTTGACAAAGAAAGGATTTGAAGATAAAAATTTTCAAATATAAAAGTTTTCTTTTTTTATATGATTTATTTGACATGAAATGAAACATTTAGCTTTTTATAATGTGTGTAAAGTTGTAATAAAAATCCTTCTGAATTGATACATGTAATAGATTGACTGAATTGATTGTAGATTGACTGAATTGATAGTAGATTGATAGAATTGATAGAAGATTGACTAAATTTGATAGTAGGATTATAGGTCACCTGTGAACCTCTTTTCTCCATGCAAGGTTGATTATCAGATGAAAGTATATGAATATTACATGAAGGGAAATTGAATACATGTAGTTACTTCACAAATTTACATTTTTAAAGAAAATTTTCATGTTAAGATGCAACATCCTTCAATTCACTGAAATGAATTCTGTTAATTTGCTGAACAGAAGTCCAAACTTAAGTCAAAATATTAGTGGCATTTAAGTATTACTTCAGACTGCCAGTATTGTTATCAATTGAAGAGTTGTCTCTCTTATCAAAGAACAACTTGGCATAGGTACGTCATTTACATTTACTATTTGTAGCATTTAGCAAGTTATAAAAGTTTTTTAAAGGGCATATGTCTTAGGAGAGCTATTTTCTTGAAGATGAGCATCATTGATTAATTGTTATTACCTTAAAGCTGAACACAATATGTAAATAGGCATACAACATATTAGTTTTCCTATTTCCGATATCAGCATTGGGGTATACCCTTCATATTTGTTACACCTGACTGCTTTCCTGTCACGGGTACCTGCGCAGAATGGATAGCACATGCCCGTGTTTGGTTATTTTACATTACCTTTGTTTGCATTTTATTGCCGTTTTTGTTTGTACTTCACTGACCTGTGCAACTGATGTAAGTTTCTTTGGTAACTTTCTCTTCTGCTGTGGAAGAAGCAGACAGTTATTTTGTTGCTACACAATAGCTGTGAGAATATGTCCGACCACATTGATGAAAACTTATTACACTAAACCGTTATCAACTGAATGGCTTATATAGGGGAGGTATAGGTAATGGAAAATACGTACAGATTAATATGGCAGTCAAACATAAATCTCTGCCTTTTACGAATTGTGTTCAACTTTAATGAAGTATTTTACAAACAGCAGTTTTCAAATTTTATGAATCCAATTCTTTTTTTGCATCTTTGGTATCTTCAGGTTACCTTCACAAAAAGGAAATTTGGACTGATGAAAAAAGCCTATGAGTTGAGCATCCTATGTGATTGTGAGATTGCACTCATCATATTTAACAGCGCCAACAAGTTATTTCAGTATGCCAGTACTGATATGGACAACGTACTACTTAAGTACACCGAGTACAACGAACCTCATGAAAGTCGAACAAATAAAGACATCATAGAGGTAAGTCTGAAAAATACAGTCATATCAATATCTATACATGTTAGTTTATGTTACACAGAAAATCTTTAGTGGTTTGAGCCTAGTAAAATATACAAGTATTTTGCAGAGACAAGATTAGAGAGTTAGTGCTGACATTTTTAAGTGAAAATACCAAGAATGTGACATTTATTCCTCTTCTTCTGTGCAAATTACCATCATGGTCATTCTTTTTTTAATTTATGAACATTTAATTTTATCAAAATGTCACCCTTACAGATACTTGCTTCTTTCATAAAAATATCAGCATCCAAATTTAATTACCGGTAATCTGTATTTTTTCATTTCTGGAACACAGAAACAAATATATATGTGGTTTTTACGAAGGGTGGTTGTTTAATTTAATTAATCTTTGACCAAAGTATTGAGGGTAAAAAAATACAAATTCATTTTACTTCAAATAGGAATGAAATACAAGTAAGTAATAAAAAAGGCATTTATTGATGAATCTATTCTCACTATCTGATGGCTGTCTTCATCGTTAAGTGCAGCTTAGACCACATTGCTGGTTTGATGCATTCCAAGCCTTTAGACTCGTTATCTTCCCCCTCTTTATATTGTGGGAGTCGTTTGTCAATGATGAAACAACATTCGTAGGTCACAATCAATACCACATTAAAGAGAAACTTTGTCAGTCAATTTAAACAAATATTGGTGCAGGTAAGCTTTGAAAAGTCAGTAAACATTGCAGAGCATAGGCAAGATACCCAGCCCACAAAGTGGACTTAATGTCAAACTCGGAATTGTAAAACACTTCTCCAAATTGTGTTTATTTGCTCTGAAAAATATAAAGAATGTTTGTTTTCATTAGATACCATTTAGTTAAAGATTTGATACTATGTGTACTTATTCGGTAGAGCAATGAACTCTTTTCTTCAGAAACAAAAAAATTCACCTTTTGAGGGTTTGAAACAATTTTAATTAAGTTTTAGAATGCCTCTCATCTTAGCTGAAAACTAGGTATAAATTGTTCCTGTATGGAGACATTTTGTCTATTGTCTATAATTCAAAATGTCAAATGCATGTGAATTTTTAAGAGACATTTATGAAAAATGTTTTCTTGGCCTTGGAAGTATGAATTTAAAAAAAAGAACCTTTGTCAATTTCATAATCATTTTCTTCCAAGAATAGACCAGCATTGTTGCGCAAATTGTTTGTGAATGAACTCTCGCATAATGTGGAACAGGTTCTGACATCAGCACAAGGATGCCAAGATAAAATCCCCTTTATTTTTTTTTAGTTTTTAGTATACATTTTAAGTTATTTTTAATTGGATTTACAACTTGACATGCCAACCACTTTCTTTACCATTTTCTGCCATTTCTAGGAAATCTCCATTAACTGTAAAATGATATAATTAATAATGATGTTGTATGTCCTGTAGGCCTTGAACAAGAAGGAACACAAAGGCTGTGAAAGCCCTGACCCTGATGGGGACCTGTACAGCAATTCACTGACCCCTGAAGAGAAGTACAACAACCAGCACACCAATAGGATGCCAGAGGACTACCAGAGATATCCAAGTGTTCAAAGGGTAAGTCTCCCATAGTCTTAGTAATCAATGTACCAGAGATGTCCAAGTGTTCAAAGGGTAAGTCTGCCACAGTCTTTGTAATCAAACTACCAGAGATATCCAAGTGTTCAAAGGGTAAGTCTGCAACAGTATTTGTAATCAAACTACCAGAAATATCCAAGTGTTCAAAGGGTATGTCTGCCACGGTCTTTGTAATCAAACTACCAGAAATATCCAAGTGTTCAAAGGGTAAGTCTGCCACAGTCTTTGTAATCAAACTACCAGAAATATCCAAGTGTTCAAAGGGTAAGTCTGCTACAGTCTTTGACAGTAATGAAACTGCTAGAGATATCAAAGTGTTCAGAGGGTAAGTCTGCCACCATTTTAAAGAGTAAGGCTGCCATTGTTTTAGGCTTTAATTCTACCAGTCTCAAAGGGTTAGGGCTACCACAGTCTAAGGTAGTAAGTCTACCACAGTCTCAAAAGGTAAGGGGCTTTCACAGTCTTAGATAGTAAGTCTACCACAAAGTCAATGGGTAAGACTTCCACAGTCTTTGGTAGTACGGTAAGTCTACCACATTCTCATTGGGTAAAGCTACCACAGTCTCAAAAGGTATGTCTGCTACTATCTTAAAAGTTTGCACAGTTTTACAGAGTAGTCTACCACAAACTAAGACAGTTGTAAGACCTAGTGTTATCAAAGTTTTCAGAGGGTAAGTTTACCACAATCTCAAACTTCAAAGGTTACGTCTTCTACAGACTTTGAGGGTAAGTAAACATGAGTCTCCAAAGAAGATGAGTCTATCAGTTTCAGAGGGTAAATATAATAAAGTCTCCTAAGGTAAGTCTACTGTAGTATTAGAGGATAAGTCTAGAACAATCTTAGAAGATAAGTCTACCAGTGTCTCAGACAGTAGTCAAACTACCAGAGATGTCCAAGTGTGCAGAGGGTTCTACTGTAGTATCTAAGGGTAAGTCTACTTCAGTCTTAGAAGGTATGTCTATCACAGTCTCAATAGTTGTCAAACTACTCCAATATACACAGGAAATCTATTACAACTGTAAAGGATTCAAAGCATACATTAATTACTGATATCAGAAGTTTAAGAGATACAAACATTTAAAGAACATTACCAACAGTTTGTACATGTCTTCAAAGCAAATGTTGATTTTTAGAAATAAATTTTGATAAATCGTTAAAATGAATTTCATTTTTATGAACAGAACATGTCACCCTACCCAGGACCCGGGATGCCTCCTGGCTTGACATCTGGTATCCCTCTCCACAACTATATGAACCAGCCACTGTCAGGGCACGGGATGTCCCCACAACCCCCCTCTCAGGTCAACTCAGGTCAAGGGCTTCTACAGCCCCCTCCTGTACACCACAGTCCACGGCCAAACTCTACCGGTGAGACAACATACTGCAAAGAATCACTGATGGATATAAGTCAAAAACCTAGATGATTTATTAGTACAGCTCTTGTCTTGTTGCATTAGGTAGAATTTGAATATTTGTTGTTTGTTCTATTGTTATCTGGAATCTTCTTTATAGGTGGAATGATAGAGATGAGTAGTCCATCACCTGCCCCCAATGGTTACCATCACAGAGCCTCCCCCTGCCCCTCCCCAGGAGCCATGGTCAACAGACAATCCAGACAGTCTCCTCCGTCAAGGGGGCCTCCGATGGGTCGCCCCATGATCAACTCACATGATGGAATGATGAGTCCAGATGTACAGGTAGTTAACGCAATTAATCATATGGACAATTACATATACAATTAATCGTATATCCCCCTTTATATCTAATGCCATATTCCAGTAAAAAATCACAAAGCATGCAATATGGTAGTTTTACAACGTATACAATGAGACTGTGTTTTGTAGGGACGTCCTAGTTCCTCACTATCAAATCCAGCAGTATCACTTACGACACCTAGTGTCCCTGGAAACAACTATCCGTCCCCACTTCCTACATCGTATCACAGTAAGTACCCTATAAATGGACCATTCAAAGCAATGTTAGACCTAAGTGATGTCTTAAATTCTCTCAAAGACTTTAAAAAAAGTTTTACTAGAATACAGAAATATTAGTTTATTAGATACTACAATGAAGTAGTAGAATAAAAAAATAACTTCTTTAAAATATTTCATTTTTCTCCTCCTTTTGTAGATGACTATAATGTTAACTCAGCAGACTTAACAGGTCACATGTCAAATTACAACCACTCACCATGGAATAATGGTGGGGCTCACCACGGGGGATCTCTAACCTCAGGAATCCCCCCAGGAGGTGGAGGAGGGGGGCAGAATCTTCATGGAATGTCAGGGTAAGATGATAATTGTCATCTTCGCTAGCCAAGGGTTTCTGATACGCTACTCTCCTCATAAACCCTTGGCATACGGTGCTGACAAAAGACAGGATTGTTTTCGTCACGTGATCACAATTCTTACCATGTACGCACAGATTGCGTCATTGACAGAAATAAAAAGCGTATTTAAAAAAATAATGTTTTTAAAGAATAATTAACAAGAAGGTATTGAGTTATGTTAATTTGTTATTTAAACATGTTAAAATGCAAATCTAGATCTTCAGTATTGATTCTTAATCACATATTTTGCACGTAGCTTAAGATATTGGATGACACCATATAGCTATTCATAGAATGGCATGTTATCTTACAGATCATTGTTTACTTGCGTTTTTCATTCCTGATATTAAAGAGTCAAGATATATTCCGAACGCAAATATCGTCATTTACAAAAAACAATTGCTGATAGGTCAAACGATGTCGATCAACTCCAATCACAACTTGAAAAAAAAATCCCAACTTTTTTTAACACCGTATGCCAAGGGCTTATGAGGAGAGTAGCGTATCAGAAACCCTTGGCTAGCGAAGATGGATAATTGTAGGAGTAAGGCATGTGAGAAATTAAGACCAGAGAAATAGGGTCAAGGACAAAACAAAAACTTAGTTGGAAAAAATTTCATAAAGAATTGACAAAATGAAGAAATGTTGTAAATTTATCATTTTTCGTGGATAACAATCGTGTAAAAACAACATGCAAAATGCTTGTACATGTATTGAAGTTTTTTTTCTTTTTGCTTCAGTTGTGATATAAATAGAAAACTAACAGTGGTGTTTGTTTTCTTTGTAGACCTGGACACCTCTCTCCATTAGCTGTAAATACAATGAATCAGAATGTACTGTCATCTATCAAAAGTGAGCCAATCTCCCCACCTCGCGAGTCAACAACCCCTTCCAATCACCACTCACTTCGACCCCTCTCGTCCACAGGTCCTGGTCATTTATCACCAGTTCAGAATATAAATCACACACATAGTAACAGTTCTTCACCCACGGGAATATCACCACACCCATTAGATTACGATGGACCACATCTAAAAAGACAGCGAGTGGGTGGGTGGCCCACCTAGTGAAAGTCTTAGTGTAGTAGCTAGTGATTGATTAGTGAAAAGTGTTCTAGCTGTACAGACAGTTTATATTATAAAGAACTTAATATATATGTATGTGGGGGGATGAACTGTGGACTATCTATACACAGGACTAAATGTTGCAGAAAATGTGATTGTGCCTTCATTGTTTCCAAACACTCCATTGTAAATAAAGCCCTCATCTCCGTTTTTCATCTCCGTCATCATAAAGGACTGCAAAGTATTTGCATTTGGCCTCTAGGACAAGAGAATGGGCCACTGCATATTAACAAGCACAGACATTTTTTATCTGGTCATTTCATGCTATTGTGCAGCTTCATTTCTATTCCCTTGTGCCAGAATTTAAGTGAACTTGCTTGCAAACCATTACAACACCTTTTTGTGACTATTGTACTACATTGTTTTTGTAAGATTGTGAATATTATCCCCACACTTAAAAAAATTTTGCCATTTCTGTAAATTATGTTATTTGTATATGTATAATTCTTCTAAAAAGTAGGGAATTGTCATCTTAGAGCCACTATATTTTTTTTCTCGGAATTTTCTCCTTGAATACTCTAGTTTGGGATAGAGTTTCTAGGAAGTTGCACTTAACAGTGGATGACTAGAATTTTGAAATCTATGATTTCACTTATCAGGATGTAGAATATCAATGTAACAATTCATACTTATACTGATATATAAATATATATTTAAATATTAAGTAACTGTCCTACAAGCTGGTCTTGTGCTCCTGTAAATTATGTATGATACTAAATGTTTTGTTATGACAGCTGGGCTAACTAAATTAAAATATGTTAGGTAAAAAAGAAGAACATACAGTCAAACCTCATTTTCTCAAAACTTGGGGACTGAGAAAAACTTGTACCTGGTAGATATTGAGGTTAATTTCATCAAGAAATGTGGTTTGGACTTCCAACTCCTTCAACATATTTAAAATATTGATGTTCAAGATACCAAAGTTCAACTGTAATGTATCACAACATAAAACACTCCTAATCTTGCAGTCCCAGGTTAAACCTTAAAAGGTTTAACCTTGACAATGACAAGAAGCATGTGGCTGAAAATTTTCTAGCATGAGGTAATAGATTTCATGAAGTGGCCTTTTTTTGTAGAACTTTATTTTTAAAAGTTTCACTTTGCAAATAAAAACCGGTGGTTTTTTTCTCTCTCACCCAAATATGATTTTTATCCATAAATAAGACAGAGATCTGTATACTGAGACACCCACACCTGTTTTCATTAATTTTGCCTTATATTTCTGATTCTACCATACGGTGCAGTTGTACAAATTAGCCTGCCTTTAATGAAAGTGCTGATTGAATAAATTCAGATGACAAAAAAAAAAATCAAATTTTTTTTTCATATTTTTATTGAATATGTATTTCTATGTGTAATGTTTTTCTTTATAAGGTGTGGAAAATTTTCTGCAGCATAAATGGCATTTTTAATATAACACTAAATTTTATTGTTTAACATTACATAAGACATGGAGAGGGGTTTTTTTTAATCATGAGAAAACCCTTTTTAGTGTTACTGACGTTACTTACAGGGACATTTGTTAAATATACCTACCTTGGTAATATTTTGTCACATATTTTGAAAATTTTCTTATACACAAAACAACACTACTGTGCACAATATAATGTTATAATGATGAACATAGTATTTTTTAATCCCCATTACTAGATAATTGCAGGTGTCATATATACATGTCAGATATTGTAAATTCAGTTTACCATGAAAGCAGATGTACATTAACTTCTTTGATATGACCTTTCAGGAATATGTATTGGAATTGTTTACAGATACAGGAAATATAATCTGAGTGTCTGACAGTATTTTTGTCGTTTACTATTTCTAGTCTCTTTTTGAACATTAGTGCTAATGGTACTTATCAAAACAAGAAAAACTTACAAGAACATGTATTGTTGAATTTTGTTTTTGAACTATAGTGATCTCTAGCTGATCAGTGTCTTGTGTTTGTGCTATTGAAATCAAATATGAGCCTATAATTAAAACACTCTAGAGATCTCTTACCAATTTGTTTGATAAATGATATTGTTATGGCTTTATTATGCATATTTCTGGTCAATAAAATTGTTGTAACAGAAATTTAATTTTGTTCTAAATTATTATCCCCCCATTTTCACGAAAGCAAGTAGACATTAAATCTCATTTGTTTGCCAGTCTGTCCATCTGCAGTCTGTCACAAAAACTTTATCCTTGGTCATAACTTTAAAATGAGAAAAGATAGGATGTGTACATTTGACAAGTGCATTACTTGTAACAAGAAGTTTCTGCATGTGCCATGATATTTGACCCCATGACCTTGACCTTCAAGTTTGTCCAAATTTTCAAAAAGTTTATCATTGCTACTAACTTTTGAAGGAGAGAAGAGAGGGCATTTATATTTGACAAGTGCACTGCCTGTGACAAGAGGTTTCCAAATGTACTATGATTTTTAAACCATGACTTTGATCTTGAAGCTTGACCTAATTTTCAACAATTTTGACATTGCTGATAACTTTTGAATGAGAGAAGATGGGGCATTTATATTTGACAAGTGTATTATCAGTTCCAAGACCTTTCCAAATTTACTCTGGTTTTTGACCTTGTGACCTTGAACTTAAAGTTTAACCAATAGTCTTTTTGATTTTTTTTTACATTGGTAATAACTTTGGAATGAAAGAAGATGGGACATTTATATTTTACATGTACATTACCTATCACAACATCTTTCAGAAAGGTATATTATTTTTGACTTCATAACCTTGACCTAGAAGTTTGAAGGACACATAAACAGGACTGTCACAATATGCCATAATAACCACTATGACACCAAAAGCGGGGAACCTTTTCGGGGAATTCTTTGAATTTGCTTGTTTGAAATTGTTTTCCAGGGTTTGAAGAATATTTTTAATCAGTTGCTTGTGATTTTGGAAAATCACAATCCTTGCTTTCAAATTGGTAATGTTTTATCATGCTTCATATTTTAAGCCATCAACCAGAAGTCTGATGAGACTGTAGCTCTACTGGTCTGTATGTATAACAAAGGAAAAGTAGCACTTGGATTTGAAACTTTGCAACATGCAGCAATAAATAGAATTATGTATCTCAATGTAGTCTACTTGTGTGCCAAGTTATTGAAATCAAACGAAAACTGTAGGAGGAGTAGTGTTTTGAAAGTATATCACTTATTCGTATAGGTGATATCACCTATTTGAATAGGTGATATCACTAAATGGCAATAAATACCGAAACGCACCTCATACAATGTACATCATCAAATTTGGTAATTTAACTAATCTATACTGTAACATTCAAAGACATTGAATTCATTTGCTTGGGTAATTTGAAATTGGGCAGGAAAAAGATGTCTTATCAAATATCATTGTTACGCATTAAGATTGGGATATTTTGACAGATGGATATATTGGGAAAGAAATTGCAAAATATTCTATGTAAGGGCCAAATCACATTTTTTTCACCCATTTAAACCACATGACTAATTTTACTAAACTGTATATGCATGATACTTGTACCTAAAAACATAAAATATATACATGTATTCATTCTTTACTCTCAACTTTCCATTTCTAAACAATCTCCCTGGACATTAAAATATCCAGGAGGGATTATACCAGAAAACATCAATTATTTCCTTGTTCTATCAAACCCAGCTGATGAACAGGCTCAGTGGAAGGTCATGTGGTTTAATTCCTGTTTTGCACTCACTTCCTTCCCTGTCAAAAATCTTGGAGATTAGTGAAGCCTGTTATGTAACTTCGGCACTTTTTCAAAGTGTTTTCCCAAGCACTCTACGTAAAACATGAAGTAGTTTTATAAATAGAATGTTAGAACAAGTGCATTAGTGTCTTTGAGATTAAAGTAAGATTTGTAAAATTTTATGAAATAAGTAACAAAATTCTCCTTTTATTTGTCCTGAATCTAGTGAGTACTACAGAGAGCTCAGTCACAAAAATAGTCTCATGATCTTCAGCAAAGTACAGGTTTCCATGGTCTGTAGCATATATCACAGAACTCTAGTGTATCAATTATCTATATTTAGTAATGCATGGCTCAATGGTCAGTATCACAGGTTATGAATCGGTGGTCTGTAGCATTCTAAGCACAGGGCTCTATGCTTTGCAGAATAGCAAATCACAGTGGTCTAAATTATTCTACACAGCAGAGTAGTGTATAGCATAGCATATGGCAGAACAAAAATGACCTACCGGTAGTATCTAATTAACACAAAACTCAGCACAAATACCTGTAAGTTTTCAAACAATGAATAGCATAGTTCAATGATATTGCCTATTACAACCAAGCTTTATATGTTTCAGCTGTGTTTTTTGGTTTTTTTTTTGGGGGGGGGGGGGGTCATTATCAGCAGTCCTATATATCTGTTAGCTATTCTTGTTGAAATATTTGGTGCCTGAATCATGCTTTGTTCTACCTGGTTTTGATTTTTATAGCAGAATAATATACAATTATGGACTCTTTCGGTGGTGAATATGGTTTGTTATTCACCAGAAAAATATCAATATTGACTGAGGCGAAGCCGAGGTCAATATTGATATTTTTCTGGTGAATAACAAACCATATTCACCACCGAAAGAGTCCATATTTGTTTTATTATATCAGTCTAGACGAACTCCCAAAACAGCGTGAACTCCTAAAACGAAGTCTTTGGCTCCATCATGCATTGCGGCAAAATGGCGTCCGATGTAAACAAACAAGGGATTGTCGTTCGCTTTCTCCAAATAAACGGCTGCAAAAGGCTGTATTTAGTGCATTGTTACTTCATTTTATTTTTTTGTTGAATGGATAATTGCATTTATTAAATTATTTTGTGGATATTGACCTATTTATCGCTTCAAACACTTGCATAATAGTGAATTGGATATACGACATCGAATTCAATACTACCGGTAAGAAATACTTGCTTAATTAATTTATAGTCTCCTTGATTTAATTTTATGTCGTTCCTACAATAAGGGTGCTTTTATTTGTTTTTGAAGACACCCAACTTGTATTTATTTTAATCAGAAAATGCGCATTTTTCACCACGGAGTAGAGATTAACAGGTTCTTTTTTTAGAAGACATGTTGTGCCCTTAATATCTAGAAGAGTGAGTATTTAAAGTTTTTGTATTGATATATAATAGTTATAAAAATGTTTTAATAATAATATCTGTTTGTATGTGATAAAAAAATCGGTAAATAACGATGGCAAAAACTTGCGCGTACAATTCAGATGTTGTACACAAATAAAAAACCGTAATGCTAATTTATGTGTAAAATTCAGTCAAGTTTTTAACAGTTACAATATATATTGTCCCATTTTGCACATATGTCCCTTTTATTATGCATATTTACTTCTCAAAACGTATCATTTTCTCTGTAATTGATCTGACTTGAAACGTTAACTTTGAAAGTAAATATCTCCTTTTATGCAAATAAAATCAAAAATCTGACAAATACGATCTCTTCTGACGTCTTTTATTTAGCATTTCTGAGTACTAGAATAATTGCCATACTTCCCAAAACTTTGCACGGAGAGTTTTTGTAGACCCATCATTTTTGGCCAAAAATCGCCATTTTTTGTGTGTGTGCGCATGCGCGGACTCTATTTTCGGAGTCTTTTTCAGTCTCATTTTCTTACTTCCGGAAACGCTGTATTTGGAGTTCGTCTAGACTGTATATAGTCCGGATTTGAATAAATAAGACATTGAAGGCTGCATGATGATATCACTTTCATTTACGTACTTCTGTCGTGGAAAAATAAAAAAAAATGTCCAGATTACAAGTTATAACTTCCGTGTTTTCCGTTTGCTGTTTGTAAGACATCGAAATGTTTAGAAAATAATCCTGCGATAGGCTTGGCTACTGTTTTTCCTGCTCAGATACACAGCTGGCTCTTGCCGTTGCAACCACTGTTTACAACGTTGTTTGAGATGTTGATTGTGACGTCACAATGCCACTGCACGCGCACCGACCCTCCCGTGAATACGGCTTCAAAACCAGTGAATATGTAGTGTTATGAACTGTTTGCGTTTGTATAGATTATATAGGGACTATAAATAGACTATATAATAACTTGATTTATTTTAGGAATGACTCTAATTCTTGGCCAAATTATTCGAGTATAACCTGGTTTGGGTCAGTTTACGCTTTATAATCCGCGAAGCGGATTATAAAACAGCGTAAACTGACCCAAACCAGGTTATACTCGGATAATTTGGCCAAGAATTAGAGTCATTCCTTAAAATTTAATTTTAAAATCATTAAATAACTAAGGGTGTAGAATTTCGTTGCTTTTTATTAGTTCAAATTTGCCGCTCAATAATACAACCGTAGTAACGGAAGTGATGGGAAGCGAGGGGAGGTAAAAACTGATGCATAGGCCTAGCGGCAGCCTTGTTGTTTGTTAACATGTGGTAAGATCGAATTATTGTTAAGTTAAAGGTACAATTATTAAATCTGGAATTTTCCATGAATCCCGAGGACTGGAAATGAGAGGATTGTATGGATACAGATGATTCAGCTGGTTGTCAGGGGGGTGTGTCCCCATACCAAACCAGGTTATACAGAAATAATTTGTGTTCCTTTTTGGATATTATCCAATCAGAGGCTAGAATACAAACAAAATTAAATTATTTCTGCTTATTTCATGTTCAATTTCTAGTTAAGGATTTGAGAGAACACAAGAAATGATCAACAACTATCTGATGTAAGAGAGACAACTTATAATTATCATTTAATAAACCACATGGAAATTAATCAAAAGTTTGAAAAAAAAATAATACTCATACAAAATGTCAAACATATAAACAATATGCAATAATATCATACAAATATATATGAATATACTCAGATTTCATTGGCTTTACTTCAATGAAACAAAACAGCAAAAACAGCATAGCTATGTTCTGTAAAGCATTTGATGAGCTTAATATTTCAGTAAAACAAAACAGCTTAGCTTTGTTAACATGTGTCTAGTCAGTAAACAATTTTCAAAGAATGGGATGGAATATCTTACAGAATAAAACAAGGATTTACAATTATAATTATTACACTTATAATTAAACAAAAGAAACTGAAAGTATTATCCTGGAACATTAAATCATCATTGGAAACCCAACACCAGTCTCTTACCTCAAGCAAGACTGCATGACTGTGGTTTTTCAACAATGCATTAAAATATATGCAAAAAAACTAGGGATACATGACTGTATAAAATACACTGCAATCATCCCTACAGTACAAAGCCTCAATTCATTACAATGTTCATAATAATTTTCTCAAACTCTGGTGGCTAACTCTTTTTCCAAGATCCATAAGAACAAGTGGTAAAGTCTACAGGGGTATCGAGAGCTTTGGACACTTCCTCTGACAGTAATTCATGCATAGTCTGTGATGTCCGTGAGTAAACCCATGTTTCATCAGTAAAGTCATAGCGAAAAGGACCACTGTTGATAATCAGAAAATACATTCATATTTCAATATATGTATGAAATATGTCTCTGATGAAGCATTACTAAGGTAAACATCTATTAATTGATAAGGCATAGCAGCTCTATTTCTTTTAGATCGATGGAATTGTCATGTACTTCACAATGCTAAGATGTTTACTCATATTTTATAATGTTACTCAAATTCTAAGCCTGAGTTACTTTCTTTGAAAAGAAAAATATATGACAAACATCACAGTTTTTTTTCCCCCGCCCCATCATTATCCAACCTAGATAGACCAGTTTTGTTTTAAAAAGTTGATTAGCTTTTTACAAAAATTAATATATGTACATAATATCAAAATAACAAAAACATGTAGGCAACTATTAGATATAGTTCAGTTTGGATTACTGGATAATTATAGGCTGCTAAAAAGTCATTTAAAAATCATAACAAATTCAGTGAATTTCTTGGAAAAATAATTTAATGTTATATAAAAGATATATACTCTAACCTCATTTCAAGAAACCAAAACATTTCTCACATGTTGGAGAAAAGATGTCTAGTCTTTTGATATAATTTTTTTTTCCAAGGAAAGATATTCTTTTATCATAGCATATTACAAGAACAAGGTAGGGTTTCAATACAAATATTGCCCTGTGTTTTTCTTAAAAATGAAAGTGATGCAAAAAATTATAACTCATGCTTTCTGAATCATTGACATTCCATGCAGAAAGATCATACAAATCATTTTTCTCACATGTCCTTCTAAATGCTAATTGTGACTTCATAAACTTGTGCATTTTCCTGTAATTTCTGAAAAAGTTGCAGAAGGCACCAATTTTCAATGGAATTTTCTTTCAGATAATACTGTCCACAGGCTTCGCCCACAAAGATTTTGAGATATGTGATTTTTCAAAGAATTTTACACAACATATCCAAAAATAAAAGTGGGCAACGGCTGTGGCACTATTTTCTTAAGGAAAATAACCCTTGAAATGGGTCATTTTGAGGTTTTTCTGATTAAAATAGATAATAAATGCATCAAATTAATGACGTCATATTTCCAGAATGGTACTCCTTCATGCCATATTCTTTCCTGATTTATCACAGTCATATACTCAACATATATTTAAGCCAGTTTCAAAACTTTTTGAAAAATTAAATTTTAGGGCACAATAAAGTTAAAACCGTACCTTCTTCTTTGTAAACAAAAACTTTTCTGCAAATTTTGCAGAAAGACTGTACTTTAGGGGAAGAGGGATGGCTTGGAATAAATGTATACCTCACCTGACAGGAGATGACAGCCAGATTTGGACATTACTAGGCTGCTTATTGATGACGTATGTACCAAACTTATCACTGATTTTTACCGTCAGCACACCACTCTAAAAAAATTTGTTTAAAATCAAAATAGGCATAATGAATCAAATGAATTCAAACTTAAAAGATGTTTCCCTCTTCATCCTTTAAAGTGAGCAAAGCATATGGTAAAGAAATGTGTGCCAATTTTTTATTGAGGATTGTATTTATACATGTATTTCAAATGGCACTAAATAAAAAGAATGTCAGATTAAAAATCTGTCAGTATAAGCATTTTCATTTTTTTTTTCAAATTAACTATGTGGAATTTATTATTCTACACCTTTAAAATATGAAACCTTTTAGCTCACCTGAGCTGAAAGCTCAAGTGAGCTTTTCTGATCGCCTATTGTCCGTCGTCTGTCTAGCTGTCTATCCGTCCGTCTGTAAACTTTTCACATTTTCAACTTCTTCTCAAGAACCACTGGACCAATTTTGACCAAAATTGGTACAAAGCATCCTTGGGTGACAGGAAGTTTAAATTATTTAAATGAAGGGCCAAGCCCCCTTACAAGGGGAGATAATCAAGAAAAGACAAAAATAGGGTGGGGTCATTAAAAAATCTTCTTCTCAAGAACCAATGGGCCAGAAAAGCTGAAACTTACATGGAAGCATTCTGGGGTAATGTAGATTCTAAATTTATATTGAAATATATAGGGAAAATCTTTAAAAATCTTCTTCTCAAGAACCACTGTGCCAGAAAAGCTGAAACTTACATGGAAGCATTCTGGGATAGTGTAGATACTGAATTGTTCAAATAATGACCCCCGGGGGTAGAGTGGGGCCACAATGGGAAATCAAAGTTTTACATTGAAATATATAGGGAAAATCCTTAAAAATCTTCTTCTCTAGAACCAGTGGGCCAGAAAAGCTGAAACTTACAGGGAAGCATTCTGGGTTAGTGTAGATTCTAAATTGTTCAAATCAAGACCCCTGGGGGTAGGGTGGGGCCACAATGGGGAATCAAAGTTTTACATTGAAATATATAGGAAAAACCTTTTAAAAAATTTTTCTCAAGAACCAGTGGGCCAGAAAACTGAAACTTACATGGAAGCATCCTGGGGTAGTGAAGATTTGAAATTATTAAAATCTTTACCCCCAGGGGTAGGGTGGGTCCACAATGGGGAATCAAAGTTTTACATTGAAATATATAGGAAAAATTTTAAAAATCTTCTTCTCAAGAACTACTAGGCCAGAAAAGCTGGAACATACAAGGAAGCGTCCTAGGGTAGTGAAGATTCTAAATTATTCAAATCATGACCCAGGGGGATAAGGTGCATAGGGCCACAATACAGTTTACAATGGGAAAATCTGGTGAAGAACAGCAGGACCAAACTTACTCAGGTGAGCATTGTGGCCCATGGGCCTCTTATTAGGATTACCATAGATTTAAGTGATACATCTTCTAAAATTGTGACATCAATAAAGCAAAAAAAAAAAAAGACTGAATTATTTACAGAATATTGAGCATCATATTCTGGATCACATGGTGCCACTTCTGGGAGGTCTTCAAACATCTCAGTCAGTGAGTCCATAGTCTCATCTGCCACTGCATGATACTCTGACTCGGACAATTGGCTAACATGCAAAATAAATAAATTTTATTCAATGCATCAGACTAAGCACATTGAGAATTTTGCAATTGTGTGGTAGTCAGGGAGATTTGTTTGCCAGTGGCAAAAAGACTCTGATGTGGAGTACCTGTCTAGTGTTCAGGGTTCCCTGAGTTTGATTCCTGGCCTGGTCGTCACATTTTTCCCATCCTGTCACAAATATTTAAAATAAATATATTGTAACAAGAAAGGAGAAAAATGCAACTTACAGACCACGATTCGAACCCAGGACCTTTGAATCACTAATCAGGTGGTCTGCTATAAAATATGCTATCTGACCAAAAGCGATTGAACCTGTCTGATTGCCACAGTGTTATGGATTTTGAGTTTGCTTACCTTCTTAATACTGATCCTGTTGAGAAATTTGCCGAGGGGCATTTAAATGTGTAGGCTGTGTATGAAGAATGACTATAGTAAGAAGTATTGGCTACCTATAAATGGAAAGATATAAACACTAAATGACAAATTTAGCAAATATTTCAAAGGAACTCGTGATTCTAAATACCATTGCTAGCTAACCTTTTAACTAAATCATTACATTCTGCTAATACTCAGTTCCCTTTCTTCTAGTGGTATTGAAAAAAGGCTTTCTGATCTGATATTCTGAAGAGTATCGACACGTTTATAATTAGAGACACATAATTACAAATGACATCCCAAGACTCCTTGAAAGAAATAAACAAACCTTTGTCGAAAAAGCTTTGAAAATGTCTGAATTACTCACAAGTTTATTAGCTGAAAGAAGTCTGTTACTTAATCGAACAATATTTATTAACTTTGATCTCATTGTTTCGATACACCGCCTTTTCAAGCTTTCGGAAAACTGACAGTATTACTTTTAGTTCTACTTTCACTTTCTGAAATATCGGGTTCGAGATTCCTTTAATTTGTTTACTGAAAAATGAACAGGGTAAAATAAGGTATTTATATAGAATATTAAAAAAGAAATTATTGTGATTTTTATCAAAATTCCATGATTGATCAAAATATGTGCCTTACAAATAAGTTAACTCATAATCTAACTTGTTTATTCAACTTAAAAAATTTATTTTATAAATACATGTCCAAAAAGTGAAATAATTTTGCGGATTCGGCATGACAGGCACCGAGTAATTTGCTACCACCGGAAACGAAAATGAATGGCTAGGGTAACATCAACATGCAACGGACTGTCAAAATTTTGGCCAGTTTGGGTAAGTTGATGTTATGATGTATGGTGCCTTTGGAGTATTATGATGTCTATTTATTCATTTTTAATCATGATAAATAAAACAGGAGACAACCGCAAATTAGGACCATACTTTTGTGCCAAGTGGAATAAAATGCCTTTGTTATGTAGAAACTTTGACGTTTACAGCAATGCATCAGTTCTAACTTTGATTTCAATTATCTATGTTTCTGTTGAAGCACTTCCTTTATATAATATGTTTTAAGGTTTGGGCGAGCACGGTTGTATTTACATTTTACACATATGACTTGAAACCACCAAAAACTTTACCATTACACTCACACTTTCAACGTTGATCCACTTCAGATTTGATTCTGATTTCCTCTGTTCTTACACATTAGTCCACAGAGCTTGCTGAGCTCACTATAGTGGGGGTTGGGTACATTGGCTCTGTAGCTTAGTGGTAGAGCAACCACATGGCAAAGTCCAGGGTTCGAGTCCCAGTAAGACTGACACATTTCCCTGCCTTTAATGTTTGGTGCCAAGTATTTACAATAATCTCAGTGAGGTTTATAGAGTGGAAAACCTCAAGAAAAGGGGGAAGAGTGTAACAGTGATTGGATATATCGGCTTAGAATAATCTAACTGTGTCCAGGGACAAGCCCTCACCACAGTTAGAATACGTCCCAAATACTTGCAATGTAGCAAATCGGAGTGGATCCACTCCGAAATTATTTTGAAGTATACAATAGGAGTTGCACTGAAAATAACTACCAAATTAATCATAACAAACCTTTTTGAGATTGTATATGCCTTTTAACTGAAAAAATAATCCATATAAAGATGAAAATGCAACTCATTTTCTCAACGTTTTTTCTCGCTTCAAATTTACACGCCATGTGGACATTCGGAACTCTCTGGATTGACCATAGTATAAGCACTCAGTTCAAGTTATCGCCCGTGTTTATTTCGCTACATTGCAAATACATGGAACGAATTCTATTGTTAAACCGGGTCCATAGGACAATGTCATTTTAACGAAAGAACGTTCTATCTAATATCAGCTGGGTAACTCAATCAGAGATAGAGCACCCACATGGTTAGTGGAAGGTCTCAATCTGACGGATGCTGTTACCCATCTGTTATAAATATTTTTGGAGACATGTACAATCCATTGGACAGAAGACCCTTTCCTTACCGAGTAGTTCAGTTTTTAATTATCAAAAGTTTGAACAAAGGATAACCTTATTAGACACAGACAAATACAGGCTATAAAAATTTACTGAAAATTATTGTGTTGTTTTGTTAGCAACATGCAAAATAAAATGTAGAAGTATGAATCAAAAGATGTAGATTGTATTATTAACAAAGCTAATTGCCCTATAAAAGGTTTCAATGTCTGACATAAATTTAAAAAAAAAAAAAAAAAATTCTTAATTTTTAGATTTCTTCCTATTCTAGAATTCTCCGATAATTCTCAAACAATAACACTTGAAACTTCTAGCCAAGACTGAATTCAGTGACATTGAATGTCATGTTATTGTCATATTGTCAGTGTTACATTTATTTAGAATACAATTTGGATGGAATCTTTAATTACATATTACAAATTAAAATATTTTCCAAACCAAGTGGCTAAGTGCTCTGTCAGTACTGTCACTTTTTGAAAACAGAATGGTCTAGTCAGCATTAAATTCTGCAACCTGGTTTCATATTTTCTAAACTATTCATACATAATTTATATTTTTTTGTCAAAAATTTAATCAATTTTCCTGTACTGAAAACACAGTACAAACTAGTAAACTAATTGTTCACAGAACAATTAGAGGTCTTTCCACCTTTTTAAGTGTTTCCGCATCATTTGGGCTGAAAAAAATGAAGAAAAATGCAATAAATGCAACCACCAAAAAAAAAAAAAAAAAAAATTGCTCCTCCAGATGGGATCAAACTCAAAACCCTTGGTTTGTTGAAAGGCAGGTGCGCTAACCATTAGGCCACGCATTCCGATAACAATAGTGTGTTAAAATGTTTAGGACTATAGAATAAATGCAAGCGTATTTTTAGAATCGGTAGGGGAAGAAAGAAGTTCCGCAAAAGGAAATAGTTCCTGAATTTGCAAGCAGTATATTAAATAATAAGGGACGGGCTGCGTGAGAAAACGTTAACACTGTTCCCTAATGAAAATGTATTAATGGACTGTAGCCCGATTCATTGATATTGTGAGCATGCTGAATTTTTTGTAAATAGCTTCGTTGTAAGCTTAAAAGATCGGATTCGGATTTTAACATTTTTGACTGAATATCCTGAAATAAATATGAAACATTTAAATAAGCATTTCTTTGGGTTAAATTAAATATGTGTAGCACAAATTAAACTCCCAACATGCATTTTTAGAAGGGAAAAACGACAATGAAAGCGAGAATTGTTTTTAATCTATCGAAAATTGCTATTTCTGGACACCGATTAATTCTAAATAAAAATCAAATAAATTCCCAATGTAAAAGAAAGAGAGGATGCTTGGTATTAAAATGTCGTATCATATCAGGAGAATCGAATGCTACTAACGACATCTGAAGAAATAGCCGATAAAAGGTTTAGTTCATTTCTTCGTTCACCTGCACTTTAATTTTAAACACAACAGAACTTTTTTTGTAGTTTTTGCCGTGAAACTTTATGACTTCTATAAACTTAAAAGACTCACCGTAAAACTCTCCAGAAAGTTTTTCTGAGGTCTATACTACATTTGTAACAAATATGGTGTCGATCCGAGGTCTGGTTTGAATTTTCCAGAAATATTCTACGTTGTTGTTGATGTGATTTTTTTTTTTTAAGAAAGGGGGGGGGATGAATTATTTATTCTTTTAAACTAAGAATTGTAACTACTTCCACATCCTTAAGCCTGATTGTGACCTTTGGATCAAGGGTCAAAGGTCAAGGTCATTAAAAAAAAAAAACACACACACACACACAACCAAGAAATCTTTACTTTCTATGTTTTTTCCTGATACTGGAGCTGGATGCATGTCCTTACTTTTCCATTGATCCAAGGTCAAGGTTAAAGGTCAAGGTCATTTGGTGAATTGCTATATACATATTTTACACATATATAAGGAATTTCTTATGTTTTTGAATGACCTTGACCTTTGACCTTGACCTATATTTCAATGTCAAAGGCCAAATATGCCGATGCAGTTAGTCCCATGTCTCTCGGATACACCGTTTTGAAAAAAAGTTCATTAAATGCAAGCAGCATAAACTTTCAGGGGCAGTGACTCATACAAGGGACTCAAAGAATGCTTTTGCAATGATAGACTGAAGAGAGTACTAAATGAGTCGAAGACACTGATGAAGGTTTGGAATCTCTACGGTTTACAGTTTCGGAGGAGTAGCGATAACAAGGTTTTGTTGCAAAAGGGGTGACAACTTTTGAATGGGTCAAGCTTGGGGGACAAGAATGAAATCTTTGAAATAGTTTTAGAAGGAAATATTATAAATGCAAAGATATTCAGTATATGTTGAAAGACAAAAGAGATTTTAAAAAAGCTAATTTTCTCATATTTTGAATGACCTTGACCTTTGATCTCTATATAAATTTCAAGGTCAAAGGTCACACACGCCAACGCCATTGGTCCCATGTCTCTACAATTAATCGTTTAAAAAAAATTAATTATTCGTAACCATCAAAAACTTTTAAAGGGGTCTTTGCAACCTTTCTCACTGAATAGATTGAGGAGTCTACTAAAGTAGTCAAAGACATTAGTGAAGGTTTTGTATCTCTACGGTTTAAGGTTTCGAAGGAGTAGCTATAACAAGCTTTTATTGCGAAAGGGGTTGTAACTTGAGGGGTTAAAGTTCATATACGCAGGGTCAACTATAAAAATCTTTTACGAAGTGCATTCTTATGGACCATAAATCTTTTCGATAACTTTTGAAACAAAAAACCATTCGGCAGAAAAATAATAAAAATAATAATAATAAACAGAACAATTTCAATAGGTCTTTCCACAGAAAGGTGGAAAGACCTAACTAGAGTGTACCATATGTATGACACATAAAATATACAGTACAACAGTAAATAGAGTAAATACTGTATGTGTACTTAAAAAAGCGGGCCTCATATATTAGGCTAAGTGGCTTTGGTGCAATTCATGAACACCGCTAATAAATCATTTATTAATACAATACATGGCACAGACATGTGTAGCACTAATTCATGATTTCGCCAAAAACTCCATATCCCTTGATTGCACTAAATTTTGAATATGCCAATTTATGTACATGTACAGAATATGCCACAATTGTTATTTCAGTTTTATGTTTTAATAGATTTTTATATGAATTATTCAAGAACTTAAATTATTTTGCAGGTGAATTTACATTTCAGCATTACATGTATTGTGGAACCAAATCATGATGGAAAAGAATCTGATAATTTAAAGCAATGGCATATCCACAAGAAAATGTCCAAGATCTAACTAGGAGTCTGGATGCTTTCCACATTTCTGAGAATGCAAGAAGTGCTCCAATTCAGGGTGGTGTTAATCCCTTTGATAAAGGAGGCTTACATTACAGTAATTTAAACCAGGATGTTAGAGGGGGAGGAGGTAGGCAATCTCAGGTAGAAGATGGAGGACAACAGAGGTATTCTCCAAGGTCAGGTAGTCAGGATAGAAGACAGAGAAACAGTAGTAGAGAGAGGCAAAGGTATCCCCAGGGTGACCCAAGTCAACAAAGGTATCCCCAGGGTGACCCAAGTCAACAAAAATATCCCCATGGTGACCAAAGTCAACAAAGGTATCCCCAGGGTGACCCAAGTCAACAAAGGTATCCCCCCCAGGGTGACCCTAGCCAACAAAGGTATCCTCAGGGTGACCCAAGTCAACAAAGGTATCCACAGGGTGACCCAAGCCAACAAAGGTATCCTCAGGGTGACCCAAATCAACAAAGGTGTCCTCAGGGTGACCCAAATCAACAAAGGTATCCCCAGGGTGACCCTAGCCAACAAAGGTATCCACAGGGTGAGCAAAATCATCAAAGATACCCCCATGATGACCCAAGTCAACAAAGGCATCTCCAAGGTGACCTAAATCAGCAAAGGTATCACCAGAGTGACCCAAATCAACAGAGGTATCCTCATAGTGACCAAATTCAACAAAGGTATCATGTTGACCCAAATCAACAAAGATACCCCCAGGGTGACTCACATCAGCAGAGGTATCCCCAGGGTGACCCAAATCAGCAGATGTATCTTCAGGGTGACCCAAATCAACAGAGGTATCCCCAGGGTGACCCAAATCAGCAGAGGTATCCTCAAGGAAACCCAAATCAACAGAGGTATCCCCAGGGTGACCCAAATCGGCAGAGGTATCCTCAGGGAGACCCAAATCAACAGAGGTATCCCCAGGGTGACCCAAATCAGCAGAGGTATCCTCAGGGGGACCCAAATCAACAGAGGTATCCCCAAGGTGACCCAAGTCAAGAAAGATATCCTCAGAGAGACCAAAGTCATCAGAGGTATCCTCAAGGAGACTCAAATAAACCAAGTTTCAATCAAGATGACGTAAATCAACGAAGCTACTTGCAGGGTGACCAAACTCAACAAGGGTATCCCCATAGAGACAGTAGTGCTGATCGACACAGATACAGGGAAAGAAACAACAGTGGTGAACAGCAAAGGAATTTCCAACCAAGAGCTAGTAGCAGTGATAGACAGAGAGTTATCAGTAATGATTGTGAGCCTCAGCTGCATCAACAGGGGTATGGGGGTGGTAGTCAGAGATATGAACAACCAATTATTAATCCACAAAGATATGAAGACCAACAGAGATATCCAGCTAGTGATCGCAGTCATGACAGACAGGGACATCCACAAAGAGCCAGTAGTGGAGAAAGACAACAAATTCCACAGAGAGATGGAAGTGTTGATCGTCTGCCATCAGAAAATTCTGATCTTGCCAAAAATCCCGATACTCAGATGGGAGGAAGTAATTCAGGTGAACGTGCCTCAAGACAACGAACTCCTAGACGGAGGTATGTCACCAGAGATTCTGAACAAGAATCTGAGGATCAAAATTCCCCAATGACCACACCTCAGAGACAGGAAGGACCCATGAGGGGTGATATTAATGTTCTACCTTCAAGGCCTCAAGTTCAGACTGGATCAGTAGTTAGAAATGGAGGTGCAAGTGCTTCAGTACAATCATCCATTGGATCTTCTAGTCATAATTGTAATGAGGCCCCTAGTTCTGATGAAGGGAAGCAGAGGCGACCACAAAGCTTAGACAGAGGTCGCCGAAGGGAAGCCATGCCCCCACCACCTGCAGTTTTAGCGAATCTCAGAAAAGACAGAAATTCTGGAACTCCAGATAAAAATAGTAATCCAGATGGTCAAAATTCACAGTACACAAGCTGTGATAACAAGGAACTATGTATGCCAGCTTCTAATCAAGCAGAAATTATTATTCAGGCACACAGAGAAAATGCTTATGGGAAAGACAGCCCATTGATGGCCAAATTACAATCCACTTATACACTGTTAAGATCTAGATCATTCAACAGGGACAAGGAGAGCAGACCTCAAGTAGAAGTAAGGCGAAGAGATCGGTCACTGAATTCTCGGGAGGAACATCAAGTAAATAGACAACAGGAAAATAACAGTGTTGACCCTTTGAGGGACCCCACACTTATCTATTCATCTGAGGAGAAGATTGAGAGACCAGTTGAAGGCCGCCGCCCTTTCAGAGGAAGAAGTCCTCAGCAACAAAATAACTCCTATGACAGAGGTTCTCCAAACACTCAGAGTCAGCAACAGATGGGTCAGAGTCCTAATCAACTTCTCCAAAATCAGCAGCAGCCTGAACTTGATAATCAACAAAATTCTACTGGTGACTTTGGCAGAAGTCAACAGTGTCCTCCTAACTTTAACAACCAAACACCACCTCAAAGAGAATTCCAGTCCAGTCAGCTTTATCAAGGAAAAAGTCAACAAGAATCTCATCCTGGTTACCCACAGCAGAGTGGTCAGTCTAACGTAAGCAGTCCCTCCTTAAAACGCATGACTGGAGTAACAGATCTGGACAAAGCCATGAAAGACAGAGACCAAGAATTTCTCAGTAAACGTTTTGGAGACACACACATGAAAACTGAACTCACACCCCAATCACCTTCAATCAACAGCAACCATTCATGCAGTGATGACCAGGAAACAGACATTGATGACTTGAGTAAAGAAAAAGGTCATGCTAAGTTCAGAAATAGAAAGCTGTCAGGGGAAAATTCACCCCTCAACAAGTCCTCTCCCTCAAGTCCAATGTTTCCCCCTTCTCCTTCATCCCCATTGGTTTTCTGTGATGAGAAGAGACAACTCAGTGATTCCAGAGGAAAAGAAATTCTCCGCAGACGTCCAAATAACCTGGAGGATGCCGTTAGCTGGCCTATGTCCATTCCTGGAACTTTGGACTTCACAAAGTTTGAAGTATTTGAAGGTAATTAGAAAAAATTACTCAGTTTATTTGAGTTTCATTTCTGCAGTTTCAGCATTAAATTAGAGCATACAGTTTCAGTCGCATTGAAAAATCATAACTCTGAGAAATACTGTCTTGTGATTATAAAGTGTACTAAATGTTTGATATGGTGGAATAAGCAATTTGTGATACATTTTTTAGGTCAGATGTTGCTGAACTGGTTGCAGTCAACAATCGATGACAAACACTACCTTAGGTTGGTGATGACGCGACACGACATGAGTGTGGTTCTTACTCAATTCTGTACATGTCTCATTGCCTCAGGGGTGATGGCAGAGAAGGAGGGTAGAAACCAACAAATTTTCAAGGTGAGTTCAGTTTTCTGAAAAAAGTGTAACTTTTGTGTTGTTGCAAATGTTGAATAATGCTTTACAGTAATAGTGATTTTTGAGTTTTGTGCTTGTCTCCTTCGTTATGGAATTCATTGAAAAAGAAAGCCTGCATTGCATAGACTTCACTTCTATGCATAGTAGTTTATTCCATGCTAAACCTGCTGAAAAGAATGTTAAATTTACTTTTTTTTTAAATGCCCATTGTCAAACTAGTTTTCAAAATTGAGTTTCATGACCCAGACCCCATAACTGTATCAACAAATGAAGAATATTGAGGAACTTATTCATGATAACAATTTTTTGTGAAGATTTCTCAATTCTTGATTTGAAGTGAAACCATGTGAGGATACATTTATATTTAAGAAATGAGACATCATTTATAAACTTTTATGTAAATAAGGGTAGGTCATATGATCAAATCCAATTATGTCATAAGTGGTCAATTTGTTTAACACATTCAATTTATTGTATATAATCTTTAAAGATTGAAATGTATTCCTGTCAGCATAAAGCTTCTTTTTTTTAAAATTCTTTATTTAATACACAATCTATACATAACATTATATGCTTTAGCATTTTTACAGATTGTGGATTTTGTTAGCAAAAGAGAGAGAGAGGGAGGGAGGACAGAAAGAGTGTGTGTTGGCATGTTAACACATATTTCATACTAGGGATGTCAATTTTGTTAATAATTCATATTCGAATATTCAATGAAAGTCTTCGAATATATTCGAATATTCGATAAAATAAATAAAATCTGTATTATTTTAAATATGCATCCCATTACTCTCATGAAAGGTGTAGCATAGGTATACTTATATTGGAAGTAAAATTGTATGAAAACTTTTGTAGGTGTACAATAAGAAATTCCGTTTGATATTTGTCAATGCTTGAAATTAATAATTGATTTAAATGTAGAAAAGAGCCATTTTAACAAATAAAACCTGCGTATAGTAGCTTCAACTGAGGAACCGGTCGTCTTACCAAAGGCAAGATATAGTCGTAACGGTATACTGTTCAGATTTCAATACTTTTAATAAATTACAATTATCTGCCATTCTGCCTAATAAGAGATATGATAATAATCTTTGATACAATGTTTTTAAAATATGAACAAATATTTCCATAGACAAATTTTCATATATAATTAACTAATTTCCCGATAATGAATAAAAAATTCAGGATTATGTACAACCCGGGATAATCAAGTAATTTACACATTTATTCTGAAATTGAGCCCCTTACATTAATTACAGACTAATTCTATCGGACATTCATTCAATGATCAATTAAATTTATTTTAATATGTATACTCTTCACGTCTTTTAGATATTCTGAGAAGGATTTCCTTTTGTTGTTCTCGATTCTAGATCCGATCGTGTCTACATGTAACTAATAAAACTATGAAAGTAATTTTTGTATTATACATAAAGGATTATTGTATAATTCTTTAACACCTTACTCAAAACAACATAATTTAGTAAATCTATAAGATAAGAAAGTGGTGAAAGAAATCCGGCGAAATCGAATTGATCGCTAGTAAATTAAACAGGGATAATTCCAGCACTGTTCTAATCAAAATTTATTAATCCCAGTACTTCTTTTTTATGAAATCTGAAAAACACTGAATATTCGAATCTTAAATTCATATTCAAATATCAACTCATCGAATGAATATTCAAATGTTCGAATATTCGTTGCCATCCCTATTTCATACCCATAAATAATATAGCATAAAGTTTAAATATTCACATCATCAGACTAATTTAAGGGGTTTTTTTGTCATCACTTTTTTGTTTAATTGATAATATTCAAAACTTCGAATATTTTTTAGTTCACCAAAACAATGGCAAAAATGAGCTTTTGTGATGGAAGTTTATCTGGCGTTTGTCTGTCAGTATAAAATTTTTCATATTTTCAACTTCTTCTCCACTGGATCGATTTCAACCAAATTTCCACAAATACAGTTTTACAGAGTAATATCTTGAATTTCCCAAGAACAAGATAGCCTCAATTTGTTTAATTTGTAAAGTAAACATTGAGTTTTAATACAATGTAAATTAAAACTGTTCAAATCAGTGACCTTAATTTGGGGTTTCATTTATCTACATGTACATTTTCTATTGTTAGGAAGAGAATTTTATTTGGATGACTGAGTGTTGTGGACCATGGGCCTCTTTGTTTTGTTTTGTTTTTATTTTTCTGATATTTTAACAAAATTTAAGTTGAAAATATACTGGTACAAGGTACACAGAAACAGTTACTATTAAATCTTGGATAAAAGCTTTTGTCATTGAAATTGTAAGATTTCAAGGTCACTGGTCTGGAAAATGGTATTTTATTTGTCATTATTTGCAGTTTGTTAGATTGTAATCCAGTATGTTAATCCAGTGAGTGTAAAATTTAACAAGCCTGAAAATTGTTTTTAGAAGAAATGATGACAAACTCTATTTAACCAGTTGGTCAGAAGAACAGTTGAATATGCCAGTAATGAAGTGAAAAATTCTGTAAATGATAATCAAGTGCTTCAGTGTCTTTCCAGTGTCATTTCTAAGGTTACTCCAGCGTATCAGATTCATTTTTTATGAACAATATAGAATAACTATCAAATATGCATGAATCAAAGGAGATGCTTCATGCCTGAGCAAGTTTACAAGCTTTCTGAATATGGACATAAGGGATTTCTGCCATAGTTTAGGAAATTGATATGTTTTTTACAAGCAGGTTTTTTGTAGTGGTGACAGTGTTATGTTGTGGCTAAATTGACTTTTTGGTCGTAAAAAATTGTTTGTGTATACACTTACATAGATATTTATATTGAGTGGCAGCTGAGATATGGAGAGATTATTGATGGGGAAATGTGATACTGACATTCATTTAAAGTTCTTAGTCATAAGTGAACTTATACTGTCATTTGGTATTTAAATTACAGTACCAAAATGTAAAAGTCTGACTTTGTCCAGTTGAATGAATGAACAGTGATAACAAAATGACTTTTTAAAAGAATTTTTAATGGATTTGTGTTAATGCTAAAACATAGAGTTTTAACAATGATTTCTCAAATGATTTTTTTAAAATTAATTTTCAATGTGGATCTTTAAGTGCATACATTTGGAATGTGGAATTTTGTGACTTTCAGTTAGAAAAGCTTGATCAGAGTAAGATAAAATATTGGAGATGAATACTAGTTTACATCTCTATTCTTAAGGTTCACTGATACTTTGATAAGGTAGATAACTCTTACAAAGATTAGTGAAAATTATTCCTCAGAAAATTTTTAAGTTAACAGACCATTTCTGTAAAATTTTGCCATGCAAGGTATGCTGAAATTTTGTGCATTTTGAATCTATATTGGATTTTTTTTTTTTTTTTGAAAATCATAAATAATTTTATATGAGTGTGCAAGGGATGAAGAACCTTAAGTTTTATCAAGTTACAAGCCTCCATGTTATGATATAATAAGATCTCTGTAATTTCTTTTCAATCTCTATTTTATTTTTTTTTTCCAGCCTGACTGTATGTATTACTGGACTCACACAGAGAATGCTCCCATCCGACAGGATGTAGACATTAAAAAACTTGGCCCTATGTGGCCCCCTCCCTTGCCAGAAAAAGACGAATTTGGACATAAGTACACAGAAGCAGGTATGGCCATTTTCTTGTTGTGAATATCTACTATGTTGGATTCTGTAATTTTTTAGCATAATAAAGATTTTTTTGGGGATGAAACATTTTACATGTCTAGAACATTGGAAATACTGTAAATGAGTATCATTATATGATTTAAATAATGTGGTACTTTTCAGAGCGTTACTACAGGAATTACATCACAAAGTTTATGAAGGGTTCGAATTTTAGTGTTTTTGGTTTTTTTTTTTGGTATAGATGACATGTAATTTCAAAGTTGCTAGCAGTGGAAATCCTTTATTTGATAGACAGCATTTAAAATTTTGAATTTGTCTGTTTTTCAATCTTGTCAAATTGACATGAAAATATTTGTTAAAATTGCCAGATTTTACTCATTACCAGTAAATAACAATTTAAGAGTAGTAGTTTTTTTTTATAAATATACAAATGTTCTTTATGCATTTCCCCCCTCTGAAATGATCAGTCTTAATCCTGAAGTTCACACATAAAGATACAACTTATTCAAAAGAAAAAAAAAGTTATACAATTTTAACTATTTTCCACTTCTGGCAACTGTGAATTGATTTGTAGCTGATTTTGAAAATTCAATGTGATTTAATTATTATGTAACAAATGAACATAATATTGTTTTAGCTTTAAAACATTTGCAATGGTATTGACAATTTACATGAAGCTTTGAGAGATTTTTTTTTTCTTTAAAATATTAACTCTCTAAAACCATTAAAAATTGTGAAACCATTTATATAAGTGCACATTTTATGTTCAAAAGTTTGAAAGTATAAATGAATATTTATGTAGTGATACATTTTATTAGAATACTGTAGTACATATATATACAATCGTGAAGATTTGCCATTATTATTATTGTTTTTATTAAATACATTGTATATTTAATTTCTTTGATAATGGTTTCATTTTAATCACATCTTGAAAATAATTGCAATATTTTGTTAAAAACTTAATCCACCAGTCTTTCCAAAATTTTAAATGAAGGAAAATTAATTTTCAATAGAGATTTTTAAAAGTCTGTTAGCATATTTTCAAGATAAACAATTTTAAGAACATTTTGTTTTCTTGTCCATGATACAGAACAACAGGCTGCGTTTGTGAATGTAAAAAAGGAATACCAGCAAGAAGTTGAAAAGCTAAAGGTATGCTTACTAGAGGAAGGAGATTGTTCCTTTTTGGTAAACATAATCATAAAAACTTGAAAAAGAAATTCCAAAAGTTAGTTTTTTAATAGAAATGTGTAAAATATCCAAACAGATGTGCAGATTTTACAGTAATTGTTTTGTTTGATGGTTTTCTCTGTGTGTTGTAGACAGAGAACCAGTCTTTGGTGGATCACCTGCGAGAGGAGTACCAGACTAGACTCCAGGAAAGCACGGAGAGGATCGTCAAGCTCGAGAAAGAGCTACAAGATCTCAAAGAACAGAATGAAGCATTGGTGGAGGCCCAGAAACAACTAGAGCAGGACTTCATGACCCCCGGAGGGGAGATATTTGCAGTTACGGGGACACCTGCCTCTCAAAGATTCCATACCCCCATCACACCTGAATGTATCAAGGGAGAGTATCCTGACATACCAAGGTATGGAATATGATATCAGGAACTTCTTCTATGCAAGATTTTATAATGTGCTTCTCCCCAAACAACAGATTCTGTATACTGGTAAGTGCCTTTGTTTCACTTGTTATCCATATTCAGTATTTTAGAGTTTTAGTTTTGTTTCTTTACAGAGATGAAGATGAAGGAGATATGTCAATGCCACCCCCTCCTGATGAACTACGACCCAATGCCCCACCCCCTCCACCACCACCACCACCACCCCCAGGGATAGGAGCTCCACCTCCTCCACCCCCTCCACCTGTACCAGGTGGTCCCCCACCCCCTCCTGCTCCTCCAGTGCCAGGTGGACCAGGGGTAGTCAGAAAAGGTGAAAACTTTGTGTGATTTTATTGGAATCAGATCAATTCATTTCAGTTCAGAAGTGCATAAACAAGTGTGCTAAAATTCTTTTCATAGGGGGGAAAAAATCATTTCAGTTCAGAAGTTCATAAGCAAAATTTGTTTCATGAAAAAAAACACATTGCACTTTGACTGTTGTACTGCAAGAGAAGTAATATTTTTGATCATTAATTTCCTGTAGGATCTCTTAAGCCTGTTATCCAGACTAAATCACCAATGAAACCACTCTTCTGGCAGAGGATACAGGTCCATAATCTCAAATCTAAAAATAAAGAGTAAGTTTTGAAGACATTGTACAATACAAATATATGTAATGTATGGTAGTATTCACATTCAGTGCAAATTTGCAAACATATTCAATGCAGATTTTACCTGAATTAATTTTATATGATGTAAGTATGATACAGTAAAACATATTTATAGTGAACTTGACATGTAATGAATTGACACTTACTGTGAAATGATTTTCATTCCCCATAGCTTTAAAATGTATTGTAAATAACGAATTACATTTACAATGAAGCAAAATCGTCCATCCCTGGCACTTCGTTATAAGCCTATTTTATTGTATGTAGATTGTTGCTAAGAGAGCACTCATAATAGTTCTTACTTTGTAAGTCCAAACTTTCAATTTGTCCGAATGGTTCATTTTTGAGGGTTTATTTAGTGTAAACAAATCTTACCATATATACTCGCATATAAAATCAATATTTCTTAAAAATGACGTTGATATTTAATTTTAAATCATTAAAAAATAAGTAACACACACTTTAGATAAAAATAAAACTATTAGAATTTATAAATACTTGTACTTTATGCAGTAATCTATGTAATCTTTAAAATACATAAATGATTTAATATATAAAGACTTTGCTCAACGTGGGATTGCTTATAAAATACTACCTTTCGTCATTGAGAAAAATACCAATCTTTCTATGACTCGCCTATAAGTTGGACACAGAATCTTGGACCAAAATTTAACTCCCAAAAAAGCGACATAGACGAGTATTTACGGTATATAAATTGTACTTTATTCAGACAGTTAACTGTGGTTTTCTATGTACAGCTTGAACAACATGCGTTTGGTGTGGGAGGAGATTGATGAGGCGGCCATTGATGTGGAAGAAGTGGACAAACTGTTCTGTAAGCCTCCATCAGAAGCCTCTCAAAAAGCCAGCAAAACCCGGACCAAATCTCCAGCCAAACAGGTCAGCAGAGGTCAAATCTAGCAGCTGATTGATGACATCTCAATACAATCTCATTAAGACAGTAACTCAGTTAATTTGAAGAAATTATTGTTAAACTGGAATTGTCAAGTGTATTTTGTTAAAATTACATAAACTGAGGAGGTACATGGCAAAAATATTAAGTTGTATGGTGATAACAAGTTTTGATGTTACCAATTAATGTTCCAGGTTGCCAAGGTATTAAGCCCTAAGCGTTCCCAGCTGGTAGGGATCCTGTTATCTAGTCTACGAGTGGATATTAATGATATTGAATTAGGTAAGTTTAATGGGAATCATTTTTGTTTTCATGAGGCAAAGTCTTGGTGACATAAAAGAAAATCTTGTATATCTTTTATTTTTCTTTTATTTTGATGGTAGAATTGGGACACAGTTTTCAATATTAACTCTCTTTTAAAAATGCACAGTTACCAGTACATATAAATATTTTGTTTGTGTTTTAAGATGTACTATAACAGTGATTTTTTTTTTCTTGTGCAGCTATCTTGACTTGTGATACATCTTGTGTGGACATAGAGAAATTAAAAACCATTTATGATAGTGTAAGTTGATGACAATATCTTCATTCAGATCAAGTGTGAATTGTCCTTTCATGCATAATATATTTACCATTTAGTCATTTTGAGAAGATTATGTGAGCGAGCATACATTGTTTGTTTTAAATAATGATCACATTCTTGAAACTTACTTGTGTGACCAAAACATGCACATAAAAGAAATAGAAGGAAAACTTCTGATTTATAGATTTTCTTTTTCAGAGAGCTGATGAGGATGAAATGAAGAAACTAAAGAAACATGTAGATAAGAATCCAGATGTTATGCTGGATAAACCTGATCAGTAAGTGAAGTCTAATACCGGTACTTGAACTGCTCAATCTTTGAGCTCAGATATTTGACTTGATCAGTAAGAGAGTTCAGATATTTCACCAATCAGGAGTGAGTATGAATACTTTATTTGTCAATAAGTGAGATAAGATACTGATTAATGACTTCTCAATGCAATATTACTGCCAGTACTCATAAGTAGATTACAGAAAGTGAGTTCAGATAATTTACCTGATCAGAAAGTGAGTTCAGATACTTTACTTGATCAGAAAGTGAGTTCAGATAATTTACCTGATCAGAAAGTGAGTTCAGATACTTTACTTGATCAGAAAGTGAGTTCAGATACTTTACTTGATCAGAAAGTGAGTTCAGATAATTTACCTGATCAGAAAGTGAGTTCAGATAATTTACCTGATCAGAAAGTGAGTTCAGATACTTTACTTGATCAGAAAGTGACTTCAGATACTTTACTTGATCAGAAAGTGAGTTCAGATAATTTACCTGTCAGATCAGTAAGAGAGTTCAGATACTTTTCCTGATCAGCTAGTAAGTTCAGTTACTTTACCTGACAAGTTAGTGATTTCAGATGCAAACTTAAATTTAATTTTGATGTAAGTTGGGTATTTCACACTTTTGTGTTTCATATATCAGTTTTTTTTAATCATGCACATGTTTAATTGAAAAAAAAAGTCAGGAGCACTGATTAACTTTGCCATGGTATTTTACATACCAGTACTAGAGATACCAAAGGTCAACTGTATATAGTTTTAGTATCATCAACAAAATCAATTGTGGGCAACACAATTCTATAATATGCATGCATGTCTTTGTCAGATATAATTTTATTCTTTTAATTCATACAGATCATTGTTCTTGCTGTGAATTTATTGGTAATGGAAAGTAGAATTAACCACCACCAGAACAATGGCTATGGTACTTCTCAACTGATTTAATGTGGGGTTTTTTTTTCACAGATTTTTGTTTGATCTCAACCAAGTTCCTGACTTTGCAGAGAGAATTTTCTGTCTGTTATTTCAAGAAAGCTTCCAAGAAAGCATATCTGTGATAGACAATAAATTAAACAATCTCAAAATGACATCTCAGGTGAGTGCCTTGTAGCTTTATAGACTCAAGAGAAAACCTCTGTAATTTGACAGTGAGAAATTGAATTACCTACATGGGATCCAAAATTATATACATAATTTACCAAGTAAGCTGTTTTCCAATAAAAACTGAATAAGGTTCAGATGAAATGGTAAATATATATATATATATATATATATATATATATATATATATATATATATATTAATTTCTTGTAGATGTTGATCCAAGGGAAGAGTGTAAGAGATATACTGGGTATAGTGCTAGCCATAGGAAACTACATGAATGGAGGTAAGTTAGAACTAAATGGTAGCAAGTAAAGACCAAGTGGTAAGTACATGTAACTGAAAACTTAGTTGTGAAATTCTATGGACATAAGCAGTGAGTTAGTAAAGACTGGATGATAACTGGTAGAAGTATGAAGGCTGGATGACAAACAAGTGCAGACTAATAATTTGGAAGTGAAATGTAATTGGCATAAAAGAAACGGGTTGATGTATTATAAATTTGTATTTTTGTATGAAGAAGGCTGTGTTTCAGTTAAACATTTTGAATTCTAGGAAACAGGTCTCGAGGACAGGCAGATGGGTTTGGAATAGAAATCCTGGCCAAACTAAAAGATGTGAAAACAAAGGTATAGGAAAAGACTGATATCAATTAATGAACAAAATTAAAATTTAAAGTTTAATACAAAAAGTTGCCAATTATAGTTTCTTTGTCAAGCCCACAACTAATTTTGAGATCTCTGAAAATTTTCAATAACAATCTAAATTGACAGGATAACAGAATGACTCTACTCCAGTACATTGTGTCGACTTACGTGTCAAAGTTTGAGCGAGATCTAGCCGGGACAGAGAAGGCTAAGCTTCCTGTTCCCGAGTACAGTGATGTCACGCAGGCCATGTTAGTCCAGTTTGATGATATTGAAAAGGAGCTCAAAAGAATCCAGAAAGATTTCAGTGGTAAAAATGTAACTTTGCTTTGACAGTTCACCATCATAAGTGTTCACATCAGTTTATTTGGTGTGTATAATGTTTGATTTGGAAAAGTAATTGAAAATAATCTGCAGCAGGGAGGTATCATTTTGTGAACTTGCTCACAGTACCTCTAGTTTACTGTAAATGTGTTATATTTAGATACTTGGTGGATAAATCTATTTTTCAACAAGTTATCGTAGATTTTATATATTGTATTCCTTAATATATACATGTATATTTTCATATATACATGTACAAGACATTAAGTGAATTCGCAGTAAATGTTATATAATTTTACGAACATTTCAGCTGCAGAGAAAAGGGCTGAGAAGGTGATAAAGAACTCCAGTCCACAATATGTACAGCCCTTTAAGGATATTATGTTGACTTTCTTTAACAAAGGTTGGTGTATACAGTTCTACAGCTGTACCTGTAAATAGTACAAGAATTTTTTATAGGTTGGGATAATTAATTGTCGTCTGAATTCTTCTAAATTGTTGAAGTCTAATTTTTACAGGACAAGAAGAATTTAAAGAACAGGAGGAGAATTTAAAGGAAGCAAAGAGTGTGTAAGTACTGGTAGATTTTGTTATTTCCTGAAAGAAACATGCTCAATATGTAACGAATGTGGTACATGTCAGTTTTTAAATTTTATCACCTGATGTCTTCCCAACATAAAATTTATATATCTATTTAACACTATTACAAGAAAAACTGCAGTCAGCACAAAGTTCTACATGTGTTATCATTTTATATACATAATAGAACAAGCTGAGAAACCGTCGGATCTCTGTTTCAGATTTGCCTCATTGTACATGTTTTACACTGTGAAACCAAAGTCTGGTGAGAAGGAGGTCACGCCGGAATATTTCTTCTCTCTGTGGTCCTCTTTCTGTCATGATTTTAAGGACCTCTGGAAAAAAGAGCAGCAGTATGTCGCCAAATTAAGGTGAGTTTTAGAAATCTCTCCAACGACATAATACTTGGAGGTATTAACATCTACATGTAATGTATCTGATGTCAATAGAAATGTGGATATGCATATCAAAGATATCATGTAATCTTTTTGATATCTAGACACTTTGATAGATTCAACTGTTGAAATATTCTTTAATGGTTATTTAAAAACACTAAATATGAACTTTTATTTTTTGATTTCCCCTCCAGAGTGCAACAGGAGGAATTACGTCTGAAACAAATCAGGGAAAAGAAACTACAACAACCAAACACCAGAGTGCGCCGGCGAGGGGGATTGGTTAGTAACTAAATATATAGATCCAATATGTTTACCTACTAACACTTTAAAATTATACATTTCAATGTATAAATGTTTCATAGTTAAGTTTAGTATTAAAATATCGGATCAGTTGACTTTGCAAATTTATATACATGTATACAATCAAACCTTGTTATCTCCACCTTGACAGAAATTAAATTTTGAGATATCCAAGAATTCAAGATAACTAAGTTAAAAAATGTAAAGAAGTGTTTGGGACTGCAAAATCACTTAGACATATCCATGGTATTCAAGATATCAGGGCTTGAGATAACAATGTTTAACTGTGGTTGAAAATTTGATATCCTGAACACTGATATATATCTCAAATTCCATGGATATATTGAAGTGAGTTTAAGTCCCAACCACATTTCCTTTATGTATTTTAACCTCAATATCCTGAATTCTTGGATATCTCAAAGTTTTTTCTCAATCCCTCCAAGTTTGAAATAATGAGGTTTGACTGAAAATGACAAAATATCAACTCAAACAGTACTGAAAATTTAAATCATTTTAAATAAACATTTATACCTGTGTTTGCATTGTAGAAGGACAAGCTGGCAAGTAAAGGAATGCTTGGACAATGAATGTGAAACCCAAAGGCAATTAGTTACCCGGTACCCATTTCATTCTACAGCAAGGCAATATAGTATGGATATGAGTGTCTACTTTGAAGTATATGGTCTCTTAATGCAGCAGTGAAACAGTACAACCTGTGGTTGTGTAACAGTCAGCATTTGTTTTATAGGGTTGTATTTAACTGATGCATTTTTTCATGCATATGCAATTTCCCTTGTTACTGTGATTTTAGATATTTTTTTGCATTTATAGATTTTTATTTTATATACCAGATCTTACTGTCTTCTTTCATTCCATTTTTCATATGGATTGTTAAAACACTTAGTGCTGTGAGCTCTCATCATTTTATACCCCCGTTCCGAAGGAGAGGGGGATATACTGTTTTACCATTGTGTGTCTTTGTGTGTGTGTGTCTGTCCGTAACAAATTTTTTTGTCGCAGTTTTCTCAGCAACTACTCATTGCAGATACTTGAAATTTTAGCACACACTTTGTTTAGGCATGCCATTTGGTGGGATTCAATTTTGTATGAATCCAATATCAACTATCTGTTTATCTGTGCATACATAACAAATTTTCATCATTGTTTTCTCAGCAACTACTCATTGCAGATGCTTGAAATTTTAAGACACTCTTTTTTTAAGCATGCCATATAGTGGGATTCAATTTTGTACGAATCAAATATCAACTTCCTGTTTATCCGTGCGCCTGTCCGTACCATACATGTATAATAAATTTTCGTCTCAGTTTTCTCAGCAACTACTCATAGCAGATGCATGAAATTTTAACCCACTCTTTGTTTAGGCATATCATTGGTGGGATTCATTTTTGTACGAATCTGATGTCAACTTCTTGTTCATCCCTGTGTATGTCCATAACTGAACTTGTGTATATTCACATCAGAGTGTATATTCACATCAGAGTGGGGGTATTACTGGTGAACATTGGCTTACAGACTTCTTGTTATCCCTACATTCATTTTTTTTTTCCATGAAACTTTCCATTTTTTCCAGTTATATATTCAATGGTCATTCAGGATAAGGTTAATGATCATGCAGCTCAAAAATCACAGACATTCCAAATGTTAGCTGTTGATTAGGAGTAGGTTTGTGTGATTCATGAATGAAATACCATCATGGTTCATATTTGAAGATATTGGTTTACTTTCTTTTGTTTTTTGTTTTTTTTTTTCTCTATTTTAGAGGACTAGTCACTTTTCTTGATTCATATTGATTTACCTTGGTAGTTGTCTATAGATTTTTGCATTTAAATTTTTGGATCTGTTGTGATGGTAGGTCAGTTTGGGGTTGGGATTTAGTAATTACAGAATTTCATTTTTATCTTACATTTCATTACATTTCAAAGTAGAATTTAGTAAATGTCTGCATTACACCCATAAATTGAAATGCTGTTGACAGATAGTGAAATTTGTTTAATATGTTTCCTTTTATGTACAATGTATGGTGAATAACATGGATGATTTTTCATGACCCCACCTAATGTTCCAACCTCTTACATGCCAAAGTTGATATTCAAGTTTTTGAACAATTTACTGATATTTCTGATTAGACTAATTGATTGTAAATTTTTGTGAGTATAATTGCCAATGCCTTGGAATATGCCAGTAATTATTATTTTTACATTTAAAGCAGAGGTAAAGGCATTCTTTATATCCAGTGTTGAGCATTGGTTATCAAATTCCTCGACAAGGTTGTGTTCTTACTGAACTGGAGTTCAGTAAAGCTTTTATTTCTTATCTATGCAAGAATTTATCTCATTTTCTTATAAGAGATAGGTACATGCTTATGCCAAATTGATATGCAGTGCATCAATATGTTTTCTGTACATGTATTGAATGCTTTCAGTTTGTTCTTTTTTCCTTTTTATTTTTATTTTTTTTTTTGATGGTCTCAACATGTTGAGATTTTTTTATGAATCATGTAAATAATCTAGAGCATGAACATGTTAAGCAAGATATAGAATCAAATTTAATAGGCAAGAAAAAGAATCAAATTTTATAAACAAGAAAAAGAAATTTTACAGACTTCAAAGATCTGAATAAATGTGCTTAGAGTACATGAAATAACACTGCTGAATTTAATTTTAAAAAAAAAAAAGTTATTGTAACCTTTAGGGGATCTTAAGAATTCCTGGATATAGTCATAATCTGTTCTATAAAATTGTAATTCTGTCTACTTGTCCCAATTTGTGGAATAAAAATTTACTTTCTTACAAAACAGGATTTCCATTAATGATATTTTTTTATGGAAACAAATTATTATAGTAATGAATTTTTTATGCTGAATGCAGCATTATGTTTTTGCTTGTACAAAACCATGAAATTTACAAAAGTGAATTTAAGGTTACTTGAACAGTAGATGACTAAAAATAGAGATTGATAAACATAGAAATTTGAAACTGAAAATTTAGAAACTGCAACAAAACCGTCAGAGGAATACTGTGTGCTTTAATTGATTTAAACTGAGTTAAGATGTCCAGTTTACATTGAATATGACATGGTTAAAAGAGATCCATTATTATAACTTTAAGGCATTTTAGTGATTTTATGTCTCTTGTTTATTGTCATTTGTATTTATTTGTTTTTTTATATCCACACTGGAGCAAAGCTTTAATGTTATCCATTTTGTTAGATAAAAAGTTTTGTATGGAGATAATGGAAATTGATTTTGGTTGTGAGAGCAGATTTGTGATTATGTACTTTTTTTCATGAATACATATATTTATATGAATAAAAAGTCAGATAAAATACTGATTTTATTTTTATTTTTCCATCCCTACCATGAATGTGTAGCTTTTAAAGAATGAAATTGTATGTATATTGTTAGAACAAATTTCTCATTCAAATTTTGGATTAAACTTTTGAGGTAAATTTGATATTTTGTCATTCCCCATAGGCCCCTTTCACAAGGGCAAATGTGGGGGGAGGTGGGTTGGTGTTATGTGCAGGTTAAATAATATTTATTACACATTTAGCTTGTTTCCCTTTTTTATATTAAAAAAAATACATGTTTTGGTAAACCCCCCCCCCCCAAAAAAAAAGAAAAGGGATAGGCTGGGTTGAGTCTATTGCCTCTTTACACAGACTTGGATCCCTGCTCCACGTTCATTAAATGGTTTTATTGATGTGCTGGAATCCTGTTAAAAGGATATTTTGAATTTTAGAGTCTGATGTCAAATGACGATATTGTAAACTAAATCTGATCTCAACTCACAAAAAATAAGTATATATGTTTTCATTATGTTTGAGCAGAGACATAATGACATTAATGTCTCTAATTAAAGGAAATGTATTTACCAAAAAGTATGTAAATTCAGACTAATTGTTTTTAATTTCTCAAAATAATAATGAAATGTTTTAAAGAGGTACTGATGGGAAAAAAAATGGGTTGTTATGAATTTACGCAATACGAGTTGGTCAATGTACGAGTTAATTTGATACCAAAACAGAAAGTAGAGAGTGACAGACAAATGCAAATAATGAAATATATTGGATGTTTATAAACCCTGTCATTGGATAATTAGTGCTGATTGTTTTTTGTAGCTTGTAATATTTACAATAATACAAAAGATGTAACAGGTAAACTGCATTATCGAGTACTCGAAACATTGTAGACATATTCTGAATGAGTAGTGTCTTGAATACTTAGGGTACAGGTGTGTCAGTAAGATTGACTATGCAGAGGCATCGTCCCCTGGTGCCCTATGTATTCAAGCCACACTATATACATGTATTAGCATACTGCTATTATTGTCAATTTCTTTAACTTCCTTTAGTTTTCTTCCTACTCAATATTTTTGATCCAGTTTCAGACTATTGTGATTATGTTGCAAATCTTGCATTTTCATGAGTATCCTACTCGTGCTTTTGTGCATCTTTCATTTGTACCCTCATGATAGATATGATTTATATTCTTTCATATTACAATATACTTTAATATTATTTATATGTAATCATTCTGAAATAATTGTATATGCCCCCTGAGGGCCCTTGATTGGTGAATAAACATAAACATATAATAATAAAGTGTCTAATCAATCAACAACCAATCAGACGTAAAACTTCAGATGTATAATTGTTACTAATCAGTCTGTAGACCACCATAAACATGGTTAACTCTTTAATATGCATCACTAACTAGTATGATACATATTTATTATCAGAAAAAAAACATTGCTGGTTAAATTGTTTCGCTGTTGGAAATAATTAAGTTTAAATGAGTTGCCATCTTTCATTCCAATTTAATGTAATAGCGAAATAATTTAATAAAAGGGCATTTTTAAATCCTCTTCAAGACCAATTTGATGAAAACTTAAAAAAAAATATTTGGAATCGCCCTTAATTGGTAAAGACTGTGTTTATTTCAAGTACCACGCCATGGTGGATTTGCAGTTTTACACATGCCTTTAATAGGAGCAAGTCAGTAAGTTTTCAACATAATGATTATAGGCTAACATCTTCATGTAGGCTGTCTTGCTCAGTAGTACAATTCTTGGAAAACTGCATGTAAATTTATTGTGATCCATATAGGTCTATCATGTTTTGGTACTTACATTCATGCCCAGGCTCATCTTGAAACTAAAGTAACAAATTTGAAAGAAGATACTCCAAACAGTATAATTGATATGAGTTATGGTTATGTTTCCAGAGGGCAGTATGAGAAAAAGCATGTCCTCGCATAACTTGGCATATCAAACTGGACAAGGACTGCGATATGAGGGGAGTGAACTTCTCCCAAGGAGGATTAGTAACCAGAATATTGTATACAGGCTGTTCCACAGACAAACACATGCCTCGCACCCTGGGACCCATTTCCATCAAGTACGCTCACTGTACACAAATGTGTTCCCTAATTACACTGTTGTGAATGTAGAGAAGCCACCATGCTTTCTGAGGAAGTTCTCACCAGATGGCAGATATTTCATTGCCTTTTCTTCTGACCAGACTTCACTGGAGATTTACACTTTTCAGGTTAGAAAAGCTTTCAAAATCAAATTCGGGGGGGGGGGGGGGGGGGGGGGGGGGGGTAAAAGGTTGGTGGGGGTTCAAGAACAATGTGTAATTTAATGGCTAAAGCATATCATGATACACTAGGACTATATCATGAAAAATATTGCAACACTGTATTTCATCTTTCACAATTTATATAATATAATTTGTTTGTCTCTATTTTGCAATAATTTAATTCTGGTTGTAACGCGCCATTTGATTGGATAAAAAATTACTTTATATGATTCAAATAAACTGTGTTGACTATGTCACAATGACTTGTGTCAAAAACGTATCAATCTGACTGACATTATATTATTTTGTGCAATTTGAAGTTATTTTTAAAAGGGCAATCATCTTATCTTCTTACAATAAATGAATGAAAATTAAATTATGAGGAATGAATTTAATTAATAGCTACCCAATTTATATGGTATAAACTGGATTGGAACAGTTTATGCTTTTTTATAAACTGCTTCACGGTTTATAAAGCGTAAACTGACCCAACACAGTTCGTACCATATAAATTGGGAAGCTATTAAATTCATTTCTCAGATGAAAAATCCTCTATTGCATTGTTAAAGGTGCTAGGATGTATCAATCAAATGCGTCCCGAAATTTGTAGTTTCAATAATTTCCAGATAAAATAAGTTTTTTATTTTATTTCCATTTGAAATGCTATAGCAATATATAAGTCATGATATTATACCGAAAACTTGAGAAAATATTAACTTCAAATCTGTGTCCAACCACCTTTAAAGGATAAAAGTTGTAGATTATTTCATAAAATTGACAAATACATTATGTAACATTTCATAAGCTCTGAAATCACTTTCATTAGGTTAAATTAGAAAGAAATTGCATGAATTGCTTCAGATGTTATCATTGTTATATATTGTGATACATAGGTATAAGATTCTGTACTGCAAAAAGGAGTACAATTTTTTTGTTGTGTATTGCGATATTGGTACATTGAACCCTACTATCTCTCAAGTCCAGAGAAAGAGCACCTTGCAATTTTGTCATCAAAACAATTAAAAATGAGAGGGTTTTCTAAATAACTACTTTGTTATTCATAGAATATTTAACTTTTAAAAATTAACACCACACCATCACCACCACCCCATTATCCCCCCCCCCCCATTTTTACAAGAAATTGGATTTGATATATTTAATATCTTTATAGGGTTCTGCTGCTGCTGAAGATTTGCTACAAAATGTTCGTGGAGATTTCATGTCATTGAACAATGATCAGGCCTCTGTCAACATTCGCTCCAAACTCTTTGGCAGATTCTTCAAATTGAGACACAAAACTCTAGTTGCTAAGAATGGAGAACAGTTAAATAGGGAGTGCAGTCTATTTACTGACAATGGAAATTACGTCATTGTTGGATCAGCTATGAATATCCCAGAGGACCCCCATCCTTTATTTCATGACATTTATCAGAATAACGAGTCCATGTCTCCTAACCACAAGTATCAACTAGAGGACTATTCCCTACATATAATAGACTTGGAAACTGGTATATTGTGTGACACTCGCCAATTCAAATTTGACAAGATTTTCCTATCTCACAATCAAGGATTATATTTGTATAAGAACACACTAGCTATTTTATCTGTCCAACAACAGACCATTCATATCTTTCATGTTACTCCTACTGGAAAGTTTGTGGATGTTAGGAGCATTGGACGATTCTGTTATGAAGATGACCAGTTATTCTTTAGCCAGGGCAACAAAAGAGGTTCTGGTCAAGTCATCAGGCCCTATACAGAGCAGACGATCAATTCACTCAAACACAGACTCATGGTTTTCCTTTTTCACAGGGCACAGGCAGAGGGAACTTCTTACGCACTACGTAAATTTTATCAATATTTTGATCAGTTCAAAGTACTGAGGATGTGGAAGATGCAGCTTCTGGATGAAAACCATTTGCTGATCAAGTACGCCAGTGAAGATGTGGTGACCTTGAAATGTCAGGACCCTAACTCCCAACCTTCTTTCTTTGTTGTTTACAACATGATCACAACAGAAGTATTAGCTGTCTTTGAAAATACCTCAGAAAATCTTCTTCAGCTCTTTGAAAATTTCTGTGACTTGTTCAGAAATGCAGCCCTGCACAGCGAATCTCAGTTCCCTTGTTCTGCCTCAAGCAACATCCATGCACGACAAATTCAGCAGAGGTTCAAGCACACTATTATTAATGCTAAGTTTGGTGGCCATACTGAGGCGGTGAAGAGACTCCTGGCTCAGCTTCCTATCAGCTCCCAATCCTACAGCAGTAGTCCATACCTTGACCTGGCTCTCTTCAGTTACGACGACAAGTGGGTGTCCATGATGGAGAGACCAAAGGCCTGTGGTGATCACCCAATTAGGTAATGTATAAGTGTTCTATATGTACATCAGGCATACCTTTGGTATATCCAATACAGTTGAACATTGATATCTCAAAACATCAATATCCTGGATATGATGAAGTGAGTTGGAAGTCCAAACCATTTTTTCTATGTATTTAAACCTCAACATCTTAAATCCTTGGATATCCAAAAGTTTTTTCACCCCCCTCCCCCCTCCCTCCCCCCTCCCTCCTCACTGAGTTTGAGATATCTAGGTTTTACTGTATATATATGTGTGTTATGTCAAGTTTTCACAGACTGATTCATGACTTAGGTTGTCTTTTTCTTCACTACCTGGTGAGTGCAAACAAGTTGTAAATCTAAATATACCTCTCTGTATGATGCATTGGATTGTACCATTTTTTTTTCAGATATTTATTTGCAAAAATTTTCCATTTGTTTTTGCAGGTTTTATGCCAGAGATTCAGGTTTACTGAAGTTTAAAATCTATGCAGGAATGCTGGGTAAAAACCCATCTCCTACTGCTCGTCGTCTAGTCGCTTTCACATTTCACCCAAGAGAACCATTTGCCATAAGTGTTCAAAGGACTAATGCAGAATATGTTGTCAACTTTCATATCAGACATTGTTTTTGAAGAAGAAACTATCAGAACAATGTATTTAGCATTAATATTTATTTGCCCAATATTTCAGAGTTTGTTTTGATTAATGACAACTAAAGTGTTATAATACAGTTGAACTTCGGTATCTCGAAAACGGATATCTCAAATACCATGGATATGTTGAAGTCACAACTACTTATTCCTTAAGTATTTTACCCTGAATATCTTGAATCCTCGATTATGTCGAAGTATTTTCTTAGTCCCCTTGAGTTCGGTTTGACTGTTTTTAATTTATTTGTTGTGATTTTTATATCTTTAAATTTTTCAGTATCGGTATACCCGCAAAATGCTTGGGATTTCTAATGTAAAAATATGAAATTCAAGATGTCGGAAACGATTTCAATCGTGCCAAACAGTAAGGTTGCTGTTGTATGGTTGCATTTTGTGGCAAAACTATAGTGAAATCAACAAGAACTTTTCTTGCTACAACGTATTTATAATAGTTATATACACTCTGCTCATAAATGGAGGTTAATAAGAAAAGGTTATTTTAACTGTTTTTGAAAATATTGCAATACACATCGCAGTACAGTTAAAAATATCGCAGTATATCGCAATACGAAATTCCAAGCCGATATCCTCCTGAGAAGAACATTTTTAGAAGACCTTTTTTCCGACATATTCTCTATGATTTGAACTTGAATCGGGGGGGGGGGGGGGGGTTCTATAGACATTCAAAGAATTTTTTTAAAAACCCGACTTTGAGATAATTTCCATGAAAGCCCAATGAGCTTATTTTCATAAGTACGAGCGTAGAAAAAAAACTGCGTTTTAACGTAATAACTTTTGTACTTGAATCGTTAGATGTAGAACAGAATAAAGCTGAAATAAATAGTATATAACAGTATATGACATAATTTGGGAATCGATTCAAGTATTATACAACAATATATTGTCGCTGAGATTCCAAATCATCGTATGTCAAATTTTCAAACTTCAGGAGAAACAAAAAAAAACAAACTTTTTTTCAAGTAGTTTTTGTGATATCGTTTCCACTTACACGAAAAGATGCTATAAGTGTTTTATTTGATATATCAGTAAGCAATAGATTCTATTGCATCAAATGTAGAGTACAGCGGACATACAATTATTTGTCTCAAGAATTATGATAAATTCTTGGTACGTGTGACATTTTGTTATTGCAAATTTGACCTTTAATTTAATCATAAACATATACCATGTCAATTAATTTGCGTTAAAATTGTTAAATAATGCTTTTGGTAAAATATTAATCTTTTGAAATGACTTCCATATAATCACATCGTGTTTTAATTTGTTTTCTGTTTTGCACCTCACTCATCACCATAACAAAGCCATACAACTACATTAATTTGTAAAAACTTGCAAAATGAAGCGTTCACAAACATTTATTAACAAAATTCAATACTATAGATCCACAACATTATAAATCAAATGTATTGTATTCCTCAAAAGTAAGAAGTCGAAAACATCAAAGCAGTTATCTCTTCCGGAGAAATTTTTTTTAGATAAAAATCTTAACAGTTAAGTGCACTGAATCAGATAAGTATATGTTGGCAAATTGTAATAAAATTAAAAGATGTTTTTCAAAGGGCCTCTTCAGCTGTTGAAGATGTTCGTGTTTCAC